GTAAATGTATACTTATTTTGTGGACGGAGGGAGTACAAAAAATAATGATATGATTGAAAAGTAGTGATATTTACAAAAATAGTTAAGGTATTTTTGAACTGATGAGATCAGGTGCTGCTGAAATTGATCACTTGATAATTTGATTATATTAATTTAATTTACTAATAATATAATTACATATATTAATTTTTAAATAATCTGCGAAAGTGCTTCAATTTCAGCACTTAATCTTATTTAATTTTTGAAATAATTATTTTATTATTAATAAATCCAAAATAAAAGTATATGCACACCTGAATGTTTCAAGATAGAATATTTAAATAAAAATAAATTTTAAAATTTATATTTTATTTAAAATTAATTTTAAATCACAAATCAAACAAATCATGATAAGTTATTGAATTTGGGTGACGCACGTGTGTAATAATTAATTTAATCCTAGTGGTAGCTACAGTGTGAATCAAATCCATCAATAGATATGTTTTTTGTAGAAAAAATTGATCTGTGTTTGTCTGTGAATTTGGATTTTTGGGTTTAAATTTTTTAATAGTAAAAGATTGAATTTGAATAGCTATTTGATTTGATATAAATAGAAATTTATATAATTTTTTTAATGTAAAATAGATTTATAGAATAATATATATGTAAAAAATAATCGTTTGAATTAATATATTTGGAAGAAAAAAAAATGCATAGTAAATTAAAACCTGTGTAAAACCAAAAAAAAAAAAAACTTTTAAATAAAATTATGCTTACAATATTCTCAAAATCTTTTATACACAGTATTTCTAAGAAGAAATATATTTCAAAATTATTTTCATTAAATATAATATTATATGAAATATCATTTTTTGTTTCAAAAACAAAAAAAATCTCCAAAGTTTTACTTATAAAACCCTTATTTAAGTAAAGTATATGAAAATTGTAAAGTATTTTGGAGTTCCAAATTATTTTGAATATAGTGAAAATTTTAAATAAAAATATATTTAGAGTACGTTTGACAATTAGCTGATAGCTTATTTAATTAGTTGTTAGCGGTTAGCTGATTTAATTAGTTGATTTGACTAGATGATTCAATTAGCGATTTGTATTCAAAACAATTGTTTGATATTAACTGTTTATACATAAAATGACAATTAAGGACATCGATATGTTATTTTTTAAAATATTTAATTTTGTCATTTTGGTTTGAAATTTATAAGAATTTTTGTTATTAATTATCGAAAATTATAAAAATATTATAAAATATTTATTTTTATTTTTATTATATAGATATGAGAAAATTATTTTTATTAAAAAATAATAATAATTTTTTATTAAAATTATGTAAAATATAAAATAATAAATCTTTCGTATATATATTTTTTTTATTATCTTAGTTATTGTTTTAATATATATATATAAATAAATTAATAATTTTTATTTTTTTCTATTTGATTTAAGTTTTAAAGATTTATATATTTTAAAAATAAAATGATTTATATGTAATAATTAATAATAAAATTTATTTTTAAATTTACAAAAATAAAAATATAATTTAATAAATTAAATATATTAAAAATAATTAATAAATACTGCTATAAAAATATATTTATATGTATACAATAAATAATTAAGTTTTAAGCGTAAATAAGGAATAACCAAAATTAAAATAAAAAAGCTCTTCCAAAACGCCAAGTAGATTAGCTTTTCAGAAATTAGCTTTTTTGGTCCAAAAAGCTATTTCAAAAAGCTAATTTACCAAACACCTAAATTAGCTTTTTGACTGGTCAAACAGCTAAAAGTTGTTCAATAAGCTAAAAGTTCTTCAAAAAGTTCTTTCTCAAACATCCTCTTAATATATAATACTCTCTCCGTCCCAAAAGAAGTGTCTTATTGAGAGTTGGCACAGGAATTAAGGAGCAATAGTATTTAATTGAAAGTTGGTATAAAGTAGAATGTAAATAACTAAAATGGCCTTGCTTTTTTAAAGATTTTAAAGAGTATGTTCGAGTAATAATTAGGGATAGTATGGAAAAGTAGAAATAATTTTTTTATAAAGTGGGGACAACGGCTATTAAATAAGGAAAAAAGACAATTTTTTTGAGACGAACGAAAATGAAAAAACAAGACAAATCTTTTGAGACAGAGGGAGTAATATAAGTAGATATTTGGTTTAAATTGAAATCAAATCGAACACAACTCACGTACAAATTTATCAATAAAAATATAATACTCTCTGCGTTCTATTTAACATTTCGAAGTATTATATTATTTTATAGAACATTGTATTATAATATTATATAAATTCAAACTTAAATTTAAAGAAAATAAACAAATAAACAAATAAACAAAAAACTTATAAACCATTAACTATATATAGTACATAATTTTGAAAAATAATTTTTAAACTAATTCTATTTTCTTTGAGTTTTTTTCTCAAAAACACAGAACAAGTATATTTAAATTATCATACTAATATTAAAATACAAATTTAAAATATATATATGTATTCCTTTCGTCTTTTATTTTACTTTGTCCAAATAAAAAATTGTCATTTCTTTTTTAAAAAAAGTAACTTTTAATTAAATATCAAAATACTTTTACTTTTTATTTTTACATTACTTTTTAAAAGTACAATAGACATTACATTACTTTTAACACTACATATCTATAAAATATTAATTTTTCTTAATCTGCGTGCAAAAGTCAAATGAGAAGATTACCATTGGACGGAGGGAGTATTATTTCCTCCGTCTCACTTAATTTGTCTACTATTTTTATTTTAATATATTCCAAATAATTTATTTTTTTTGAAATATATAATTATACACTTTAATATTATTTTAAATTCATAATTCTTAATTAAACTATTTAGTCATCTTAATTTTAATCTATAATTATTTTTATTTAATCATAATTATTTTCACTAATACACTTCGTAACTACTTACTAATTACAAAATATTTAAAAAGTCTGTGTTTGAAATTTAATGGGACAAATTAGCTGGGACGAATGAAGTAGTACCTTAGGTTGTGTTTTATGTGGATTTTAACACAAGTTTTTATTATTCAAATTATTTTTCCGTCCAAAAATATTAATAAGTAAAACAATTACTTTTTTATATTATACTATAAATTTATTTTACATTCAAAATATCAAATTAACATCTTTTTATATCACATCAAATAACTATTCAAATTCAATTTTTTATTATTCATAAATCCTAACTCAAAAACCCAAACACACAAACAAACACACCCTTCAAGTTTGTTTGTTTAGTGAAATAATTGAAAGAAAGTAATATTAAAATAATGAATACTATTTTGAAAGAAAATATATTTTTTAGAAATTGTGTTTTGCGAAGAAAAAAAAAAAAAAAAACTAACATAAAAATATATATATAAATTTATCAGTATTTATATTAAATGCTAAATTTTAATATATATATAAGAAATTGAGTAATCAAATATATATTAATAAAAAGATTGTTAAAATATCAGTTAATATATATTAATATTATCCAAATTATTATTTCCATAACAAATTGAAGCAAAATAATAATAATAATAATAATAATAATAATAATAATATACTCTTAAAAAACACTCCGTTGTGTTGTAAAAATAGTAAAAACTTTTAATTAAAAAATTATTCAATTTAATATAAATAATATTCAATAGTAAAGTTACTATGCGAATTTAACTAAGCACATGTAAAGTATAAATTTAATACAATCAGCTATTTAACACATCGTATGTTCTACTCCCTCCGTCCCAAAAAATATGGGACTATTACTGTACATACGAAAATTTAGATAAAGTATAATTAGTAAGTAATTAAGAAGTATATTAGTAAAAATAATTATTATTTAGTAAAAATAATTATAGATTAAGATTAAGATAAGTAAATAGTTTAATTAAAATTAAGAAAATTATAAAATTTAAAATGCGATTAAAATGCATAATTATATTTTCAAAAATATAAAGGATAAGTTATGTGGGATGGACGAAAAATAAAAAATATGAACAAATTATGTAGAACGAAGGGAGTATTAAATAATACGTAGTTGTACAATGTGAATATACTAATGGTTCTAAATTCAATTATAAATTATGTTATTTTTAACTATAATATTTGATGCTTGTTTATACGTTGTGTTTATATTACAGTAACGTAAACGGTTAGAATATTTTGTATTGTCTTCGTCCTATAACAAAGTATCTATTTCTTTTTTTAGTAATTGTACTATCTATCTAATATTACAAATACCCTTACAACTTACAATATATTACACAAATGTCATTACCTTTATATCATACATACTAATAAGGTTATTTTAGTCATTTCTATTTTATTTCTACTATATCTCAATATAATACTAATATTTTTAAAATTATGTGCAAAAAACAAATTAATATTTTTATACGGATGGAGTAATAAAAGACACAAAATTTATAATTGAATTCAACAAAACTAATGCATTTCTACATCACAGGTAGTGTTGTTATTTAACCCAAAATGTGTTATTTATACTTTATATTTATAAATTATGTTGAAATTTTTATTTTTTATATAATGTAAAAATTTGCAATCGATACTTTTTTTCCTAACAATGGATTGTCAGTGCATATACTATGTACTAATGTTTTTCTATATATATAAATATATATATATATATATCATATAGTGTATTTATATTTGTTTTCATTTAGAATATATATTAAAAAAATAAATATATAATGTAATACTCCCTTTCTATCCTTTTTTAAACGGGTTTTTAATTTATAGTATATTAAAAAAATAATAGTATTTTATTGGTTAGCGAAAGTGTATAAGAAATTTTGACATTTTTGTCATTCAATTTTATCTATAAAGTAATTGTATTTGTAATAATATATTTGTAATTTAAATAAAAAATTAATGATATTTTGGTATTAATATATAATTATTTTTACTAAAAATTAGAAATAAATATTTTTTAGTCACACAACCTGGTAAAAAAAAAAAATGTACTTTGAAGCAAATTACTATCTATACACAGTGAAAATGAGGTTTTATAAAACTCAACCAAACAACCCCTTAATTAATTATCGGGGCAGGGCATATTATGATTAATTAATCCTTAAAAATCAGACGACGAAAACGAAGTAGTCTGAATCTGATCGACTCGGCGCCGCTTAGTCATCCGAGCCGGCTCCGAGCTATCACCCGAGCCGATCAGGTGCGGGAAGTTCACCTTCGCCTTGGCGCCGCGCAGCCTGAACGCGGCTCGGTCGTAAGCCAGCGCCGCCTCCTCCGGCGTTCCGTACGTCCCCAGCCACATTCGGCTCCCTTTCTTCGCCGGATTCCTAATTTCCGCCGCAAACGTCCCCCACGGCCGCCGCCGCACCCCTCTGTACCGCCTCCATTCCACTCGCGGCCCCCCACGCGCCGCCGCTACTTCCGCCGCCGCCGCTTCAGCGACGCCGTCGTTGTACTTAAGCCAGCTGTCTCCATCCGAGACAATGGCGGGATCCGCCGCCGCCCCCAGCGGCGCGTCGATCTCACGGCAGCTCAGTAACTCCTCAATCATCTCCGACCAGCATTGCCCGCCGTCGCCGTTGACGGAGGAATCACTGCCCGAAACTTCCGGTGGGATCTGGAAATCATTAAAAAGATAATCTTGTTCGAATAACAGATCAAATTCAGCCATTAATTTAAAAAAGAACAATTGTAATTCTCGACTTCAATTCTGTCAATTGATTGAGAATCTAGCAAGAAAGATCTCTATATATATATATATATATAATGCGTTAGTAATAAAATATTCTCAAGAAAGTTTGATAGAACCCGGGATCTCAACACCCGCTGCTGCAGCCATTACTCCTCTAGAGTTGGCAAAAACTGATCCGATACGACAATTCGATACAAATCTAATACGAAATAATAGGGTTTAGGACAAATATTTCAACCCTATACACAGGTTGATACAAACTCGATACGATAAGAAACTGGTCGGATTAGGCTCTCAAGTCAAACCCGATATGACAACTAGATTATAATATATTAATATGATTAATATATTTATTATATATGTAAAATAATTATAATTTAATAATTTTTTTATAAATTAATTTAAACTAAGTTCAATTATAAATAATTCAACTTAATTTATGCTCAAATCAATAAAAATTAACATATATAATACGACTTAATTATTATGTCTACCGGTCAATACGAGTCAACCCAAACTCGATACGATAATAAACAAATCGGATTAGAATCGAATAATTTAACCCATTTAAAATATTCAACACATCGTTAGCTATAATCCATTCATTCGGGACTTGAGGTCCATGATGTTGCACTCTAAATGCAGTGATAACACAGAGCCTCGAAGTTTCTTTAATTAATATAATAATAATAATAGTAATAATTCTTATTATAATTAAATAAATAAATAAAGTATATATACTGTATTTTATTATGTATCAGAATTGAATCACGTGTGCATTTCATATTATTTTTATCGGACTTCTTAAATTCAGTACACCATGCGCCCAGTACACATTATTTATTTATTTAATTATTTATTTATTTATTATTGTATTGTCGGAAAAAGATAATGTATATATATATACATAACGAATAATTGCATTATTATATGCATTTCTATATTTCTATATATTTTGATGAATAGTGAATCGATCATTATTGACTACACTTTGGAGAAGACTCCAAAATCTTGTAGTAAAAAAATAAATAAATAACCAATTATGTTTTGAGATAAATCATAGTATATATTAAATTATTATATCTTAAATATATGCAAGGATTTTTTTTCTTTATAATATTGAATTAAATAAAGTTTTGCATTCAGCATAACAACTTGAATGTAATGTAGCAACTAAAATAAATAAATTAATTAATAAAAGTACATAAGATTCTCTATGTCTCTATTTCTGTCAAATATTATAACTAACCAAAAAATAAAAATGCAAGAATTTTTGTGTTTTTTTTAGTGTTTTAAGAAAAATAAAAAATAAAAATAAAAAAATTGTTAGTTGTGAAAGTTTTTTGGGAATTGAGATGTTGTTGGTGAAGTAATTCTTTATTATTTTTTAATTAAATGTTTTGTTGAATAAAATAATATATTTTTATTAAAAATATATAAATATATATATTTTTTGGTTTTATTATGAATTGTTTAATGTATAAAAGAACAAAATATATAAATTTCATAGACTACAATAGCTTGTTGTCATTTTACAATAATCATGTGCTGAAATTAATAAGAAACAAATAAAGGATTTAATATATAATTCCCTATGCAATTTGTCACTAAAATGATTGATGAAAAACAATCCCAATAGATCTTCAACTTATATTATTTTTAACAAAATGTTGATTAACTAAAATTAATTAATCATTGATATTTGAATTTTACATTTTCGAAGAAAAAAAAATATATTCTTTCTAATAAAATATCATATCAAATATTATTAAAAGTAAAAATTTAAATTTAATCCATATTAAAAAGAAAGTGTTTTATTTGTGGGGTTTGGAACCCAAATTTTATAATTCATTAATTTTTTTCTCTTAAATAACATCAAAGTAAACACACCTTTTATTATTTATATTATTGTAAAAAATAATTTTATATTTTAAATCAATACTTATTTATATTACATCATACATATAATTATTTAAATTTAAAATTTTATTATTCCAAATTTCAAAACTATTTTTGTTAAGTGACTTTTAATTTGTGAAATGATTTGAACGATTTTTTTTTTATACGAGATATAGAAAATTGTGTAGATAATATGAAAATAATAAATATCTAAATTATTAATTTTTAGATTTTTTTTTTTAGGGAGAAATATATTGGAATTTTTTTACAAAAAGAACACACTTTGTAGAATATTGATTGGCTTATTGGTGGTACTAATAATTGGATGTATAATTGAGATGTATTGTGATTATTTTTTTTCTAATTGTATTTTATTGTTATACTATTCTCTTCATTCCATATAATTTTTTTTTTCTTTTTAGTTTTACATAATTTATCTCTTTTTTTAAAAAAAAAAATATTATATATTTTAATCATATTTTAAATTTTATAATTTATAATTTTTTTTAATTTTAATTAGTTATCTTAATCTTAATCCATAAATGTTTGTATTATACAATAATATTTTTTACTAATATATTTTTTAATTATTTAATAATTATATTTATCATAAATTCTCATATTTTTTAACTATTTACAAATTATACTTATCCTAAATTTTTATATCTATGATAACACCAACAATTTTAGTTGGCGAAAAGAGTATATTTTTATATATGAAATATTGGCCAAAAATTCGCTCAAATACCAAACAACAACCGATTACAAGCACAACAAAAACGAACAATTAAACACCACCAACATACACTCAGATAAATTTTTCCACAGACAGTTCGTAAACTGATCAAACAACACACAAACCCTGTAAACAAAAAAAATGAAATACATGAAATTGATAACTCAATTCGATCACCAATAACCTATATTTGAGGGTTTCAACCAATGCTCACATCAACTCATTCAAATTTGAATCAAGCTTACAAAGTTGTAAATCATACACTCTACTAGTTTGTTACGATTAATTTTTGTTATATCATAATATGGTTACTAACTAAAAGATTCTCCACCTTCCACGGCTAGCACGTTATCAATCAAGTTGGATCAGATCAACATTTAAACCTCCCTCTTGTTTGATTGGACTCAAGTCAAATTGGATCGCGTCTATCTATTAGAGTTTGTTTGTTGATCGAACCATCTTAAAAAAAAACATTAACCAAAAGAGTAGCAACGAAATTCATTGCCAACATGAAATATGTTCGTTTGTCTTAAAGAAAATAATGATATTCTTTTTTAATATACTCTTTTCATCTCATATGTATCCATCATTTTGTTTTTTGCACGGAGTTTTAGAAATATTATTATTACATTGAGATATAGTAGAAATAAAAGTAAAATGACTAAACTAACCTTATTAGTATTGTATGATATAAAGGTAATGACATCTGTGTAATATATTGTACTCCCTCCGTCCCATATTTATATATCCATTTTTTTTACACGGAGTTTTAGAAATATTAGTATTATATTGGGATAAAGTAGAAATAAAGATAAAAAGACTAAATTAACCCTATTAGTATTGTATGATATAAATGTAATGACATTTGTGTAATATATTGTAAATTGGAAGAGTATTTATAATGTTAGGTAGATAGTATAATTACTAAAAAAGGAAATAGATACTTTGTTATGGGACGGACCAAAATAGAAAAATGAATAGATTGTCAAAGGACGGAGGGAGTAGATTGGAAAGGTATTTATAATGTTAAGTAGACAGTACAGTTACTAAAAAAAATAGATATTTTGTTATGTGACAGACCAAAATGGAAAAATGAATAGATTGTTAAGATATAGTATAAAATTTGTTCATTATTTTCTCTCACAAAATATTATACTTCATATGTCCCCTTTTAAGGATCACAATTACATTTTGCATTATTGTACTTAACATTGAAAATATTCTTATATTTGTATAGTTTTTTTTTGTACAAATATTTTTTTTTAATTTATACTAAATTTTGATATAGTAATTAATATTTAAAAATCAACACATAAAAATAAATAAGATCAACCGTACAGATGTAGTATTAAAATATCGTTTAAACAAAAATTCAATCATTCAAATTATTATACATCAAATTTAAAAACACACATTTTATTCGCTGATGAAGTGCACTTTAATACTTTATGCATAACAAAATATATATATATATATATATATATACTAATTTGAAAATGAATGCGACGACAATAACTGCTCGCCGGGAATGAAACGGCGCCGTTTCGTAACCCTAATCGGCGCCGGAACGTCAGCGCCGACGAGGTGAGGGAAATTAACCCTAGCTCGTGGTCCCCGGAGCTCAAACGCCGCTCTATCGTACGCCAGCGCCGCCTCCTCCGGCGTCTCGTACGTCCCCAGCCACGTCCTCGCGCTTTTCTTCCCCGGAACCCTAATCTCCGCCGCGAACTTCCCCCACGGCCGCCGCCTCACACCTCTGTACCGCTTCCACTCCACCGTCGGAGTATCCTCACTGCTGCACCGCTCCACCGTAGCTCCCGACAGGCTCGATTCGTCACCGTCCGGCGATTCGACGGTCGCATCAAAGGGGTATTCTCGCCGGCGATCGGCGTCCTCGCAGAGGAGGTAATTTTGAATTGAGTTGAGCAATGCGACGTCGTATTGTGACAGGTTTTGTGCTCCCATTTATTATTATTATTATTATTTCTTTTAAGGATACTTTCAATTAATTTGCATTGGTTGCTCCTTTATAATAGGATAGGAAATAATATAATACTTAATGAATTGTAGAACGTGGAAAAATCGAAATAATAATTTAATCTGAAAATAATAGGAGTAACTACTAACTACTCATATTTTTATTATACTTTGAAATCTAGCTCTAGCCTACCTACTGAACATACATGTGCTACAATAATTTATTTTTCAATTTTTTAAAAATACATATATTAAATTAAAGTTCTTTGGATTTTTTTATTTATTTAATTTTTTATTTAAATAATATTTTGATATACTATTTTATAAAAATAAATAATACTTTTATTTAAGTGATAACTAAACACATAGTTAAAATATCTTTTTTTTTTTGTAACATTTATGCTACTTATGTTCACAAGAATATGATCGCATCATTTTCAATTTGTCCACTTAAATGTGCTCATGTTAATTTGATTTTTTAAAAAAAGTTTAATTATTTTTCAATTTCTACTCACTAATTTTTACTACTTTTCTCAATTTAAAGTATTATTTTTACTATTTTCATTTGCCCCGCCTCAATATATAATTTTTCTATTTTAGAAATAATAATCATATACTAATACCAAAATATTTTTAATTTTACTTAAATTATAAATATATCATTACACATATAATTACTTTTATACATAAAGTCAAAGTTAAAAAATGTTAAAACCTCTTACACACTTTTATTAACTAATAAAATATTTTATTTATTAATCTACTGTAACATTTCAAATGGCCTTTTGATTTGGGACTAGCAAAGGTAAATTTCATTCAAGTTACTTTAATCCAAAATTTGTGTTATCAATACTATAAAACTTATAATTTTATCTCTATAATACAAGATTGTTATTATTTTTTTTTTTTCATGTTTAAAAAATTTGATTAAAAAAAAGTTTAATTATTTTTCAATTTCTAGTCAAAAATTTTCATCTATTTACAATCGCCAATGATGAATTTCTTTCGACTTACTTTCATCCCAGATAAATGTATTTGTTTTATTTTACTTAGATTTTTCATCACAATAGTATTTTCTCTTTTTCTTTTTCTTTTTTTCTTTTTTTGTACCGGTCTCTTAAAAATAATATCCACAATTCAATATATACCACAAAAGATTTGTTTGGTTATACCTTGAATTTTATTTGAGTTTTTATTTAAATATTAGTATTTTGATGTAATATTTTGTGAGAAAATATAATATGTATTTTTATTGAAAATTTTACAAAAAAAAAATAATACTAATTTCAATTTGAAAAAAAAAAAAAAAAAAAAAAAAAAAACCCACAATCTATAAACTTTTAAAAACAATAAACCTAACTTATAAGGATAACTTTATCACATTTCACTCAACACAATTATATTTATCGTATTATATATTTTTATTTTTAAAATTTCGTACAAAAAGTAAATTATGGGTAAGTAGTCAATTTTTTTTTTGTTTGAATTTTGGCAAATCTAAGTCGATCCAAAAATCTGATTTTTTTTTTTTTTAAAAAAAATCAATCCGAATCGAAATAATTGAAATTCAAATTAAAAAATTCGAACCAAATCGAAAAATCCAAAATTCTAAATTTATTGGTATTATTTTTAAAATTTTAAAATTTATTCTATATTTCTATAGTTGTTTTATAATATTAAATGTATGTAATAAATGAAATAATTATATAAAAATATAATTAATGATTTTGAGCTTTTATTATTTATTAAAATACTAAATATGTATTATAATAAAATATAGTAAAATATTATATTTCAAATTGGTTAATCTTTATTATATTGATTAAAAATTCTAAAATTTATAAAATATTTAATCCGAATTAATCTAAAAATTTAAAAAAATTTGAACCAATCTAAAAATTCGAAACCAAATTTAAAAATTTTTATTTCAAATATTTTACTCACTTATAAAGTAAATGCATACATTAGAACAAGGCAAAGGGAGTTTTCTTTTAAAAAAAAAAATATATATATATATATGTAAGATTTTAAATAAAAAATATTGAATATGATAATTTCCACTAGCTAATATTCTACTCTCTCCATCTCACTTCTCACGTCCATCTTTTCATTTTTGTTTGTCCAACTTATTTTGTCGTTTTTTTTTTTTTAAATTATACACTTTAATCTTATTTTAAAAAATTTAATTTATAATTTTTTAAATTTTAATTATACTAATAAGTTATTTTAATCTTAATTTATAATTATTTTTATTATATAATAATTATTTTTACTAATATATTTTTAATTATTTACTAATTATACCTCTCCTAAATTCCCATATCTACAGTAAAGCGGACAAAATATCCGAGACAGAGGGAGTAATTCAAAATATTATTTTTGCTTCACTCAAAAATATTATTTTCAAAGCAATCATATAATAATACCAAAATACTATTTTTTAATTTATAAATAAATTATAAATATATCATTACATGTACAATCAATTTATATATAAAATACAAAGGGCAAAATATCAAAAATTATTTTACCCATTTTCACTAACTATTAAAATACTGCGTCCATCCTAATCCAAAGAGGCCACTTTGAAGTTTTGTAAGAGAATAAAGAAATAACAATATTTTATTGATTAATTATATTTTTAATTTAGATAAAAATCAAGAGTATTTTGGTATTAATGTATAATTATTTTTACTAGAATTTGAAGTGTAACAGGTATAAGTGATAATATAATGAAATGGGACGGACAAATCACTTTACCATAAAAAAAAAAAATGAATATAAATTTGACGAACGAAAAAAATATTATCTTTTAATCTAATAAAAGATAAAAAATTCTTTTTGATCAGTAACAAGGGAATATAATATTTTTAAAATATATATATTTTTAAATTAAACTCGTAAGATAAGATTGAAAAACACACAGCAGTGGCCAATTGTTGACATCCTTTGCATTAATTACTTCTCCATCCCAAATACCGTGTCTGCTATACTGTAGATACGGTATTTTAGGAGGGGTGTAATTAGTAGATAATTAAGAATGTATTAGTGAAAATAATTATCCTATAATATAAATAATTATAAATTAAGATTAAAATAACTAATTAGTTTAATTAAAATTAAAAAATTTAAAATAAGATTAAAGTGTGTAATTATTTTTCAAAAAAGAAAAATGATATGGCATGTGGGACGGACAGAAACGACACCATGGACATGGTATCTGGGACCGGAGGGAGTAATTAATTAATTAAATCATTGTGTTGTACCAGTAAATCTCCTGAGCCACGTCAGCAGTAGTTTTCAACGAAATTTTACGCGGAGACTAGAAGGCAAAGACGAGAAAACGCTGTGTTACCTTCACGACTTCATAATAGTCGTGAAAAGCGTGTCTATTAATTTAATAATCTAAATGCTTTTCTTTTTACACGTTTTATATTTTCTATTATAAAAAATTCACTCATAGTGTATTTAAACCTGTTTTTAAAATAATAATAATAGATTAAATTAAAATAAATATTTAAATTTTATTATATGGTGTTTTAAATAAATTTTTAATAAGACATTTTAAATAAAAATAAATACTACTCCACCCGTTATCCAATTGTGTGTTCATTTAACAGGGAAAAATAGGTAAAAATAGAAACTTAAGAAAAAGTGGTATTTTGTACGAGAATAAATTTAGATAACAACAATAAAAAAAAGTGAGAATAAATTTGAATGAAAGAGAGTATTAGATATAATTATATATATATTATAATAAACAATACATACTCTGTCTCACCATATTTGTTCATTATTTTTATTTTTATTTGTTTCACTTTATTTGTTCTTTCTTTTTTAAAAAAAAAATTATTATACACTGCATTTTCAATTTATAATTAATATTTTTAATTTTTAATTAAATTAATTAGTTAGTTTAATTTTAATATATAATTATTTATAATTTATAACATTTTTTACTAATATATTTATTAAGTATTTACTAATTATATTTTACTTAAATTCTGATAGCTACTATGAACTGAACATAAGAGGTGAGACGAATAGAATAGAAAATATTAAGTCCGCATAGTCACATTTCTTACGTAACAACCGGATGGAATTATTTTATTGCATGACCGAACGTTCATTGTCAACATGTATTTATTTAAATGAGATTTCTCGATAAATCTCTAATTGATCCTGCAATAAATAAATAAATCACGATAAATTCATCCAAAACTTTATTAATATAAAAATAAAAAATAAAAAATAAAATAGCACCCGATATAAATACAAACAATACATGTTTTGTAAAATAAAATTACATAATTATGATATTTTTATTATAGATTATATTGAAATCAATTATAAATACGGTTGTATTTGACTATGACTTTTGTTGTCTATTTTATATTAACATAATATAAATGTAACATATGAAAAAAAAATGATTTTAGCACAAATTATAGTAAAAAAATAACACACATATTTTTAAATTTAACACAATATATATTGTATTAAGGAACATATATATTGATAATTATTAGATAATTAATGTATAATAAAAAAATGAAATAATATTTATAAGTGATATAATTATTAAATAATTGATAGTTTATTTGTTTAAGAGTAAGGGGTGTGTATTCAATATAGATTTTATAGGATTTTTGTTGGATTTTTAAAATTTAGGTGTATTCAATCAAGATTTTTAAAAGTATTTTAAAATCAAGAGGTATTCAATCAGACTTTTAAAAATCTTTTAAAATTGTGAGATATTCAATATAGACTTTTAAAAGTATTTTAAAATTTTGAGATATTCAACTATCCATAAACTTTGAAAGTCTATGGGATTTTAATGAAAAATTGTGAAAATTTTGTATAGAAAAGAATTCTCTACATCATCAGAGATTTTGATGGATTCTTAAAATTATTATTATTATCATTATTATTATTATTTTAAAATATATATTTTTATATTATAAATATAATTTTAAAAATAGTATTATCACAATAAATATGTATTATTGTCGCTTTTTTTTTTTTCAATTATCGAATACACTATATTATCATTACGATAACGACGGTGAAATAGATATTTAAATATATATTTTTTTATTGAACCGTTAATTTATATTTATTTATTTATTTTAATATTTTTTTTCAAAAATCGTAAATTATATTTTTTATTTTATTTACATATGTATTTACTCTTTATGTAAAAAAATTATATAAATAATAATAATAACTAATAAAGAAATATAAAGCTAATTTGATATATTGAATGATAATATAATACTAAAAGTATAAAATTAAAATAAATAATCTAGAATATAGTAGTATTACATACGTTACAATACTTCTACATTATTAATACTTATATATTATTTATTAATATTAAATATTATTTTATTAATAATTAGTTATTATATTTATAAAAAATTTTGTTTGATATAAATTTATACAATTAATATATATTCATAAAAAAAAATAATTTACAATCCTACAATATCCATATAAATCTATAAAGAATTCAATCAAATCAGTAGAAATCCATATAAATCAATTACTAAAATTCATCAAACTCAACGTAGACTCTGTCGATTTTCTAAATCCACATAAATCTATAGACTTTTTTAAATTAAAAAAAAAAAAAAATCTATTAAAATCTCAATTGAATACCCCTAAATTTTTCATTACAATTTTAGTATATCCAAAAAAAAAATTTTCATTTCCTTTTCGGTAAAATTAACTCTCAACTAAATAATAAACTATTCATACTTTTAAATTTTCACAATATTTTTTAAAGGTAACATATTATATTACTCTCTCGGTTCCATCTAATTTGTCCTCTTTTAACTGCGCCACTAAATTTTAATGTATCAGTAAAAATAATTATAAATTAAAATTAAAATAACTAAATTAATTTAATTAAAATAAAATAAAAATTATGAATTATAAATTTTAAAATTTAATTAAAATGTATAATTATTTTTTTAAAAAAAAAAAAACACGAAAGAGACAAATTAGGTGAGACAGACCATATGAAATAAAATAAACAAATTAAGTGAAACACAAAAATACTTTATTATACTACATATTTATAAAATATTAATATACATTAATTTCGAGTGCAAAAATCAAATAAAAAATTTACTATTAAAAGATGGAGTATATAAAATAAAAATTGAAATAATTATTCAGTATAATTAATTATAAGAACCTCTCGCAGTCCATGGCACGTGAGATAGGGATGTCCGTTTCGACGCCGCACTTGGCGGGAAGGCCGAGCGCCACGTCATCCTTCATGTTCGGATAACGGTCGGCGACCGCCTTAATGCAGCGGCAGCAGCCCCTCTTGTCGGCCGCCGCCATTTCTTTAACGGCTCGGACGCCGGAACAGCACGCCGGAGATGGGGCGCTGCCGCCGTGGCCTATAAGGTATCTTACGCACGGCGCCAGGGCGGCGTTAACCTGCCGGCAATTCTCCGCCGCCTGGCTCGGCGGCGCCGCCACCAAGAGTACGCCGACAATTATGGCGGCCGCCGCTGCTATTGCAGTGATCCTCATTGTCTTCGTCTATAATTTGTCTAATTAATTGTAATTAATATACGACAATAATATATTGCTGCTGCTATTAATGTGTTTGAGAGTATTTTGGTTTTTGTATTTATAGGTGAAGTTATTTAATTATTTAAATTATAATTAATTTATTTGTATTTATTTATAGGGTGAGGTTTGTTATGCTGCAAAATGGGAGCTGTTATGGTGTTTTGGCTGCTTGTGCTGCATTTCGCCAACAAACTCTTCTCTTCTTATCATCTTCTAGGGTGTGTTTGTTTGGGGATTTGGATTTTGAGTTGGGAGTGAATAGTAAAAATCTTGAATTTGAATAGTTGTATGATGTGATATAAATAGGTGTTGATGTGATATTTTGAATGTAAAATTGATTTTTAGTATAATATAAAAAACGGAGAATAGGTGTTTGATTTGATATTTTTGGGAAAAAAAATTGGATAAGCAGTGTGAATCCAATCCAATCCCCCAAACAAACACACATAATTTATAAATTTATTTATATAAATATCCATGAGTACTTAGGTAGAACACCGTGCAAAGTGACTGTATAAAGGTGTGTTTGTTTGGGGAATCGAATTTTAGTTTAAGATTTTGAATAATAAAAATTTTGAATTTGAATTGCGGTATAATGTTATATAAATAGGTATTAATGCGATATTTTGAATATAAAATTAACTTTTAGTATAATATAAAAAATGTGTTTAATTTGATATTTACAAAAAAATAAAAAAATAAATCAACTAATAGTAAAATTTTTGTAAAGTTTTATATGATAACACACCCTAAAAGAGACGAAAAAACACGAAGACGTTAGGAAATTTAATCCCATAACCTTATAATTACGACTTCATCCCAAGGTCATGTCTTACGGACAACCCTAATCCTAATTTTGCGCCTATGTGATAGTGATGTTTTGTTGTTGCCCATGCCCTAAGCCTAAATTTGCATCTCTATGTGATGCTAATACCTTAAATGAGGGCAAAGCCAAGAATCAATCAATCAACCACTTGTCTAGTCTAGGAGTCATCTCTTGATCCCTTCCTTGCTCCTTGTGCCCACCATTACAATATGTATATACATATATATATATATATATATATAGAGAGAGAGAGAGAGAGAGAGAGAGAGAGAGAGAGAGAGAGAGAGAGAGAGAGAGAGAGATTGGTAAGGATGGGGTTGGTGATGAGCTTGATGGGAAGAGGTAAGAATTCTTGAATTTGATTGATATCTTAATTTCCTATCCTATCCTATCATCCATTTATTTGCTTGTTATTAGTAATATTTGTTTGTGATAATTAAAAGGGTATTGGCAATATAGGCTTGCCAACGGCACAAGTGCTGGGGCTGCTCATGGGAAAGCTTCACAAAGAGTTCATAGAAAAAGATGTCAAAACCTTTCACCAATTCCACATTGCTATTCTTGACATCTTCAGGTCTCTCTCTATTTATTTTTCACTCAATAAAAAATATTAGGCAAAAAAGTATAAAACCATCTGGGATGGACCAAAGAAATCGAACCAAACAGTTGAACCAAACTAAACCAAATTTTCGATTAATCTAACAAATTCGATTCGAATACAAATACTGTATATTTGATATTTGTTCGGTTCAATTTTTATTTTTGATATTGTTTTCAATTCAATTAACCGAACCGAATATATTTATATTAATAGATCTTAAATTTTATATTAATAATTATATTCAGTTCGATTTCAGTTTGGATATTTGAAATATTTATCATTTAATTAGAATTTAATTCTTTTTAATATATTTTTTCTTAATTTCGATCGAATTATTTGCAAATACTGCAAATATTTTCAATTAATCGAAAATTTCAATTCGGATATGGTTCGCAATTTCAATTATTTGTTCGGTTCGATTCAGATATCAAATATCAGCATATTTACAAATAACCGAACCGTATCCAGGGGGTCATTTATAAAAGTTGCAAAAAATCCTGTTGTTTAAAATTTGTGTTAAATTCACTTCTAATTTCCAAAAATGTATTAACTCTTATTCTTCCATTATTAGCAAAGGATGATTGTTCTGAACCCTCCTAATTATGAAAGTAATTCAAAACTTCAATAACTACTAAATCACCGTTAACTAATGATGAAAAAAAGCGTTAAAACTCATTGTTTCTGAAACTATAAGAAAATCTAGTCAAGTTAAAACAACGAGAGGTTTGGCACAATTTTCATAAACCAGCCTAAGTATTATTCATTTCTCACCCACACCGATCAATCGATTTTAACTCAACATTCATTTTCTCAGCGCTGTCAATGCTGCTTTGCCTGGTAAACACTACGATCCACCCTCGACAGAGGAAGTCGAGGTCTGTCTATCTATCTATTGTCCTGACCGATTTCTTATATAAAGCACACAAAAAAGAAACAAAACGGGCACGCAAATGGCATCTAAAGTCTGAATCTTCTTCTACGACAGGAATGTTTTAGGGTGTGGAAGGGAGCGGGAACAAACCAGGAGCAGAAGAAGACAATAGTAGTCGACTTCATGAAGCAGCATGTGAATCTCAGCAAGTTGGATGAGATGACGCTCACGGCAGGGATCGTCACACCTCCCGCTGCCATGGCTGCCAAGAGGGCAGGGGAGACCCTCCCCCAGCTCAACCTCATCAAGAACATCCCTGATGTCATTTTCGTCCCCTCCGCCACATTACTTGCTCTCATATCTGTCAAGTTATCCAGGAAGATAATTCTACGTGACACAATGCCATGAAATTAAAGACTGTAAAACCTACAATTTCCTCACAAACATGCAATCAGAGATCATACATATTTGCAGGGTGAATTCAGAATGGAATTTATCTTCTGTAAATCTTCAAGAACAGATAAATCAGTCGTACCTTGGAATCGCTAACCTTTGGAACCTTTGGGTTTTCGAGTCCATCGACCACCGCCTTTTCTTCTTCCTCTCTTCATCCTTTTAGGGGAAGTGAGCTTAGCAAGAGACCGGATTTTGGGGGGATGCTGCTGTTCATCTTTTGGCGCGTCAGGTTGGTCTTTTGGAAGGGAAGGACTGCCATTACCAGGCACATCGTTAAGGATGGGATTTTGAATTGGGTGAATTTTCACATCCTCAGAGCTGCTGATGTCTTCCTTGACAGTATTCACAGTGGACTTTTCGAAAGGGGGAATCGTCATCCCCTCGAAATTATTCAGTTCTTCCTTCACCCTTTGATTATCAATAAGAACCCAATCTTCTACCTGGGTGAATTACACATCATCCAAACAAAACATTTTAGTTTGCAAATTTAAAAGCCATATCGATGCGCATTACCTCAAGGAAAGGCCAACGTGAAATCCTTCCATTACTTTCATCACAATAATTGTTTCACTAAAAAAAAATAATAAAATTGTTTTTATATCTCCTATTTGTGAGGATATCTATACCGCCATGAAACAGTAGATGCTACGACAAAAAAGCACTTCAAATGAACACAACCGGAAAAATAACCATCAAAATAGAACTAATGGAGTTACTGTGATGTTAACACGCTGATTGAAAACCCCAACTTGTTCCGTTGTAGTTTATAAAATTTCTTTAGAAAATATGAAACCGCTGAATCACCAACAGGAACATTTGGCTCTGTTTCTTTTAAGTGTGGAAAACACTTACCTTTCCACTTAATATATTATATAAAAAAAATCAATTTTCTATTTAAAACATCACATCAAATACTATTTTAATTCAAATTTTATACTATTCCCAAACCCCAAACAACCAAACCTTAGAGAAACACACCTACAGTTTTAGGAAAATTAATGGGATATTGGAGGTAAAATATGAATGAAGGCAATGGTTAGAAACTAGCAAGGGTTTGATAGAACTCACGTTTCCGTATGCATTTGCAAAACCAGCACGAGAAATTCTTGCATTAGCATCGGGAATGTCTGCATAACTTGTATCTGCCTTGTCTGTCATGCGTGCATCATCCATATTGATCAGCTGAGAAGCAATATAAGTTCCAACTGGCACTCGGTCCCCGTCTTTTGGAGTTGGATCATCATCTTGTGTAGGTAGGAAGTTCAAGATATCAGAAGAAGAAAGCTTGTCTGCATTTTCAGTCGTTACTCTGTCTACTCTATCCTTCAGCTGGCCAACCCGTGATTGTAAATGGTATATCTTCCAAAGTACTTGTTCAGAAGAACGATCACCAGGAAAAAGCTCGAACGATAAGAGGTCATCATTTGAGCAAAACCCACCATCAGCGTTGACTGAATGATTAGCTTTCAAATGGGGAAATTAAAAAAAAAAAGTCACTCATAAGTACACTATTTTTTATAGGCAAATAATCGAAATTCTATGCATTTCTATCATTTACAAACCTATGGAGCCTAAAACAACAAATGTATATGAAGGAAACCTTGTGAAGACAATATAAAACTAAAATTTCCATGTAGACTATAATATCTAGGAATATTAGCAAATTTTGAATTAATTCAGACGAAGAGCATAAAGAACAATCAGATGCTAATTATGAGTGATGGAAGAGATGAGCATAAACTTAAAGAGAAATTAACGAGAATGTTAGGAAAATGAAAAGCAGTAAACGATTTCTTACTTGTATTATTTCGCACGTCACTCACAATGGCGCACTCAGAAGAAAAAGACTTCCTGTTCTCTGAAAATAGTCAAGTATCAAAACATTAATCAACCCAGTGAATCAAGCAGAAAATGTTGGTACCAATGAGAAAGGAATTCTACCATAGTAGGAAAAGAGGTTATGACGAGACATGTATGCTGTTACATCCATTGTCATTTCAGTTTTTCTTCTCTTTTTTCTCTTCAGGACGTTAGAATTGCCACACGGATATGGAAGTGATTTCACACCATTATCCAGTTCAGAATTCTCTAGGAATTTTCGCTTCTGCTTGTTTTGGGCCTCGAGTTCTTGATCATACCGTTGAGCAAGGGACTGAAGCTTCTTGATTTGCAATTCAGTCCACTTACAGCGCCACACAAGAGGTTGAATAGAGGACCTCCACTCAGTTGTCAGCTTTTTTCTATACGTCAAAAGCAGTAGCCAGTTATGAGCACACAAATATACTTAACTCTTTCACCTAGTAATCTAAATTTTTAACAAGTCTGACAAGATTATCTCAGGCACCACTCACTAGTAGAGGCTCAAAATGGAGTAGTTAAGAATAGCAGATCGAATCACTTTATTGGAGAGAGCCTAGATGTGAAGTTTTCAACAAAGAATATGTAAATGTTCTGATTAACTACCTACAGCTTATCTAACTTTAGCCTAGCCACAAAAGTGAGCCGTGTAGGCATGCCCAAAGATCCCACAATCATGACTCCATTTTCTTAACGACTAATTAAAACCAGATGACGAATGTACAGAGCAATATGTGAGAATATAGGGCATGGCATATTTCTTCAGAAAACTTAAGTACCTTGTGAGGAACCTTTCATCAAATCTACCAAACTTGGGTGTTGATCCGGCGTCATCACAGAAATCTGACATAGCTTCAGAGTCAACACTCTCGATTCCACTGTCACCAAACGAACTTGAGCTTTCAGTCGTGTCCTGGCATTTTTCTTCAAACAGTTTACTTCCAGAAGATTTTGTACATTCCATAATGTTCACATCAGTATTCCTCTGTATTACTCCTGCCTGCTCATTCGAGGCTTTATCCACTTTATAATCTACATCTTTTCTTGTAAATTTCATGAGCTCGTCTTCAAGTTCTTTTGCAAAATTTTCATTCCCCTTATAAGTTGAAGACCCCATCTTAACTTCCAAACTAATCTAGACCATCCAGCAAATTCCCATAAACCAGTAAAATGTAACCATCTCACCTCGACTAGAGCATAAGCACCAAAGATGCATAAAACACCTGCAGTAAAACGATTCCAGCAATAAATTTCTTCCAATTGGGTTGGAACACAAACCAGGAATTCAAAAGTATCCTCTACATCGATAAAAGTAGAACATATTGGAAAAAGTATCACCGGGTGTCTAATTCATCGCAGCGACCTCTTAAAAGCACGATAGCCATATCCACAGCAATGCACAAGCTGAGAATGTATACTTCATTTGCATCTCAAGAACTAACTTCACCAATCCATGCTTTATTTTATTTCAGAATATACAATACAAGTTCTACAAAATACGTTCTGCAATATCCATTTGAAATGATATTGATCGACCAACATAATATCCCACCAGTCATTTTTGTAATTTCTAATCCAAACATAAATTTCATTAACCTCGATAGTTTCTTCTAAATCTTATCATCAGAGTCAAAATCTGTCGGAAAAGCACCGAATCAGAAACACAGAGGCGTACGTTTACAAAAATGTTTATAAGATAATCACAGTGTTAGCACAAGCATAACTCTATCAATGGATTCGAAGAATCTTGATCCTGAATTCGTATAGAAATGATTGCAATTACCTCTTACACAGCTCGAATGCCTAAATTCATCTAAAAACCGAAATCAAAAAACAAGAAATGCCGAAACATAAGAAATTATCCCGTTTTTCAGGAAATTTGTGCCCCACCCCACCCCCCAACCCCCCCCCCCCCCCCCCCAAAAAAAAAAAAAAAAAAAAAAACTCTTACCTCTCGAAGACACTGAAAACCCGCCGAAAGAAAGATCCGGGTACAGTAAAGCGACCAAAATTTCACTCAATCAAGGGTAGATCGAATCGATTTAGGAAGATTGTGAGTGCGGGAAGGATTTTGGGTGGAATGAAAAAGTGATTTGGGGAATCGGAGTTGCCATGTAAAGGCGTTGGACTTGTGCCAATTCCGCATTCACTTAACCGACATGAAATTCATATTTAACAAATAAGTATATTTCTACACATAATTTAAATATATTTTAATCAAAATATTACTCTATCAAAAAAAAAAATTGAAAATTAAAAAAATGTGCTCAAATCTTTTAATGCTAAAAGTATAAAAAATAGATAATTATAAAATAAAAATAATATTTTAAGATGACAAATGAAATGATAAATAATAATAATAGTACTAATAAGCCTAAATTTAAGTGACAGAAAAATACTAATTTATTTATTCTATTTCTTGGCTTATTTCCCCTGTATTTAAGTAATAGTATTAATTTTAATGATTTTTATTACTTTGCCATAAGCTACAACAGCTCATCCTTGTATTAGTAGGTATCCACACATTTTTTAAAATTTTATAAATTGAATTAATAAAGATAAAAAATTATTATAAAATTAAAAATTTATATTTTCTTCCCACTCAGTAATCATATATTTGTCTCTTTTTTTTTGTTATCTGAATATAATTTTTTAAAAAAAAAAATTGACCAAAAAATATTGGTGTGTTCTTTTTTAATATAACTTCACATATTTATTTTTTAAAAAAAATTAATATATTATACATATTTATTATTTTTATATTACCTATCCAATTCTTTATATCTACTTAACAAAATATTACTTAGAAATCATTTCATAAAACAAATATACCAATATTTTTTGAAATATTTCAAAAAAAGTAATAATAACAATTTGGATGTGTTTACTTGTGCAATTTTGTTTTTAATTTTACTATTTCAATAATTCTTTTCCTCCAAAAACATCAAAATCAAATATCTAATTTTTATTTATTATATTACACTAAAATTTAATTTTACATTCAAAACATCACATCAAACAACTATTTCAATTCAAAATTTTACTATTCAAAATCAAAACTCAAAATCAAAATCTCACAAATAAACACACCCTTACGACTAGGGTGTTTTATTTGACGAAATCGACAAACTAACTTGAAGTAATTAACAAATCATTACACATATTACATATTACTAAGTTAAGAGACTACCCTGAAACAATTATATCGTCACAAGACAGATAATATATGTTATATCATATAATGTGTTATATATTATATTAATATTTATTACTTTTTCTTTATAAACATTTGCTGATCACATCAAATTACTATTGTGCTTAATGATAAATCAAGATATATTTTACTACCTATAATTGTATAATATGTTATTTAAATTTGTACTTTGTATTATATCATTATTTGTTTTTTTTTTTTTATAGATATTTGCTAATATATTGATTTGATCTAATTAACACAGTAACCGAAAAGTAACAAAAAAATATTATGCGCGTCTTACCAATCTAGTTTCATTTTTATGTTTTTCTTATAAGTTGTCTATACAATTATTAAGTTATCATCATTGTTGTCTATTATACTCCGTCATTTTCACTTAAATTGTTCTCTTTTATGTTAGACACGAAATTTTAGGTATTAATTATTAAGTAATTAAGAAATGTATCGATAAAAATAATTATAAATTAAGATTAATCTTGCTATAGTTTAATTAAAATAAACAAAAATTATGAATTATGAATTAGAAAATGTAATTAAAGTATATAATTATATACTCCCTCCGTCCCCAATCTATCTATCTATTTGCTTTTTGTACGGACTTTTAGAAATATTAGTATTATATCCGGATAAAGTAGAAATAGAGGTAAAAAAACTAAATTAACCCTATTAGTATTGTATGATATAAAGGTAATGACATTTGTGTAATATATTGTAAATTATAAAGGTATTTGTAATGTTAGGTAGATAGTACAATTAAAGGAAACAGATACTTTGTTATGGGACGGACCAAAATGAAAAAATGGATGGATTGTTAAGGGACGGAGGGAGTATTTTTCTTTTAAAAAAAAGAAATAAATTATGTGAGACGGACGAATACAGAAATAGTTGACAAATTAAGTGTGACGGAAGAAGTATATATATATAAATTAAATACTCTTTCCCATTTAATAGAATATACTTTTTTATTTTTTTAATTAATTAAAAAATAATAATAATATTTTATTGATTAATTAAAATATATGAAAAAACATGACATTTTTTGGATATATTAATTTGAACGAAAAGAGTATTATTAATTTTTATGTTTTTTGCACTGAAAATTATTTTCGTATTATATATTGTGTGTTTGCATTTTTTTTAGTTGGTTTATACTTCCTTCGTTCAGTTAGAAAATATATATATTTCTATTTTGAAACGTTGATTTATAAAGTAGTCATTTCATTAAATACTTTTTTTTTTCATATATACTCTTACTTTACATCACATCATTACTTTTATACCAAAAAATAAGGACAAAAATGTCATTACACTACTTTTAACTATCAATTATAATTAAAATACTATTATTTTTTAAACTCCGCGTCAAAAGTAAACGAATGTTTATTAAGTGGACAGAGGAAGTATTATTTTATGTCGATTTGAGTTTATACGATGGGTGATTCTTTTTTCACTCAAAGTGAAGTGGTTTTTCGTGTTTATATTTGATTTCATATATGTTTTTGTTTTTAAAAAGAAAAACAAGATTCGAATCCAAAATTTCTAACACATTTCATTTTCATTTAATATGGTTTTTGAAAATGATGTTCATCAAACACACCCAAAAAAATTCATCAAAAAGTACTTACAGTTTAGACAGTCCAACATAATTGTCATCTTGAATTTCAACACCATATCTTTTCTTCAATTCAAGAAAAACCTGCATAGTCAGCAAGCTATCAGACCCGGTCCGGCGACTCTGCCCGACCGCCGGGTTCATCTCCAAGCTCTGAGCCGCCCGGTTCAAACCCAAGCTCCGAGCCGCCCGGTCCAATTCCCAATCCAATCGAAATCGTTTCTTCAAATCGAAAACTGCCCGCCCAAAGTAAACCCTAACGAGCTCACGAAATCCGATCGAATCCTCCGGCAATGGCCGCTGCGACAGAATCCTTACGAGCAATCCGAAATCGAACGCACCTTGGAAGGAGATCCACGTCAGCGTCCGACTGAAGCCGAGTAGGGAGATTTTGAATAGGAATGCGAAGTAACTCGACTCGATACCTTGCCTGTAGATATCGATGGATTCCGAGCTATGGAGGTCGCGATCGGAGAGGAAATTGAAGTTCCAGATGTACTGGAAGGAGGTTCCGAGAGTGGGGAGGTTTCCGGAGGCGTCGGCGAGGGTGAGGCCGATCTGGACGACATTTGCCGCGTCGATTTTGAGCTTCAATTCGGCGTAGAACTGCTCCGGTGATTGGGGAGCGCCGGAGAGCTGAATTGCGGCGCCGCTGTTGATGGAGGCGAAGGGGAATTGACTAATCGATTCTCGGATTTGACGGATTTCGAAGGGGACGTTGTGTTGCCAGACTTCTCGAACCCTAATCGGCAGTGAAGAAGACGCCATTGGAGAAGAATTCAAGGTATGTTTTCATTTTTGATTTTTGAAATTGATTATAAACTGTTTGCTGAACAATTAACGGTTAGCTAGCGGTTAGCATTTCAGTTAGTTGTTAATTAGGGATTATTGGTTGATTAATAGTGTTTTTATATTTTAATTTTTAAATTATTGGTTAATTTATTATATTTATAATTTAAGAGAAAATATATATATATAATTAGTCTAAATAAAATAAAAAAAATTTATCAATTTTTCAACGTAGAAAATTTATTAATTTTAATTAATTTTGGTAAATCAATTTAAAATTGTAGAAATACTTCCATTAGTGTTTTATAATAATAATAATAGAATGATATTTGTAAAAAACTTATATAAATATATGAATATTTTTAATATTAAGTACAATGACGCAAAAGGTAAATATGACCGTTCAGTAGCGGAGGGAAGAAGTATATTTTTATACACAATGGTACGATATTTTATTAATACTATAGGGTCCATCTTAATTAAATAAAGAAAGTTGTCTAAATTTTGTATATGTGATAAATAGCAAAATACGTGTATTGTTAATTATTGGACCACAAAAAATGGAATCTAACAAGAAAAATATTATTACAAAAATTTGAAACTTTACTTAAATTTTGGTAAGTGAAACTTATGTACATTCTCGTCATTTTTTTTGCTTGACTTGATGATTTAGTACTTTTTATGTTTGATATTTAAACTTACTCTGTCTACAATAACTTCGTTCATATTGTTACATTATTTTAGATTTTCTTATTAATAATGAATTATTATTATTATTATTTTTTTTGCATTATATAAAATTTTTATTCTTACAAAATACTCATTTCGTCCCGGTTGTTGTATGAATTCTCTTTACTGTAGATACGGGAATTTATGAGAGGTATAATTACTAACTAATTAAGAATGTAGCAGTGAAAGTAATTATCGTATAATAAAAATAATTACTAAATTAAAAGTAAAATAAAGAAGAGAGTAATATATATGGAATATATTTGTATTAATATATTTTTTAATTAAATTTAATTCATTTTTCTTTTATCAATATTAAATTAATGTTTTATTTTTATATTATTTATTATATAATATTAATAATAAGATTTAATCAAAGAATTTCAAATTCAATTTTTTTCAAAAATCAAAATCATTTTTAAACAAGAATGGTATTTATCCGGTCATATATATATAAGCAATTAATTAGGCATCTTTATTTTATTTTATTTTATTTTACATAATAAATTTTCACTAATTTAATATTCTTTTAATCCGTCAAATTTATTTCTATTTTTCTTTTTAATCCGTCCACTAAATTAATGTTTAGAGTACAATTATTGAATAATAACAAAGGAAGAAACAAATGAAAAAAAAAAAAAAAAGTTTGAATGAAAAGAATTAGAAATAAATATTATTATTATTTTAAAAATCTCTCATATACATGGAGAAATTGTAAAAATTTAATTTCTAAAAGAGTAAAAATAAATAATAATAATAATAATAATTTAATTTTTAATTTTCAGGTCCAACAAAAAATAATTTTATTTTTAGTTCTATGCTTTTATATCTTTGTAACAGATCTCCTTAAATGTATAAAACAATATTTTATATAATTTTATTTTACAATTTACCTTTATAATTTATTCTATTTGAGATTTTATAATAAAATAATAATTATACTCGTCATTTCTAATATGACTAATAATTATATCATACAATTTATTAAAAAATATATGTTATTTATTATTATATGTACCATATTTTTCACACACATGATATATATATATATATATTTGTGGTTGAAAATATATGTTGTATTGAACATCTCAACGCCCATACAGCTGATATAGTTGAATGCATTAATTATTTATTGCTTTTATTTATTTATTTATTTATTTATTTGCTTTATTTTTTTTTATTTTTGTTATTCTAATTCTACAATTTTTGTTAACATAGGAGTATTTTTTTTTTTTTTAACAAAATATAATATTAAAATTTTGTTTGCATTGATAAATAAAATTCGAAAAAATAAAAAACTCAAAGGGAGTAGTACAGTATTTATTTTTTGGTAATTTTTTTTTCAAAGCCAATAAATCAACATTTAATTATTTTTTTATTCAACATTTATTTACAATAAATATTACTAACTAAATATCTAAAAATACCCTCAACTACCTATCAATTTTTTAATAAAATATATATTTTTTTAATTCTATATATGATCCAAATGGATTAATTTTAATTGACTGATGAGTATTATTTATTTTTTTAAAAAAATACTATATCAAATAATTTTTTTATATATATAAAATATCAAATTAAATATTAGTCCCTCCGTTCTATGTAATATGGGCACGTTATTGTACGAGAATCTAACTAAAGTGTAATTAGTAAATAATTAAAAGTGATGTATTAATAAAAATAATTATGATATAATATTAAAAATATTGTACGTTAAATAACTAAATAGTTTAATTAAAATTTAAAAAAATAAAATAAAATTTTTAAATTTAAAATAGAATTAAAATATATAATTATATTTTAAAAAAAAAAAAGAGATAAATTATGTGGACAAAAGAGGAAGTAATTTTTAATTTTTAAAACAATTTCCAAGGAACTAACTACCTAGAAATCAAAAGAAAAGAAAAGACACGTTCTCGTCCGCTACCACCATATCCCAACTACCCACCCTACGCTAACACTGTTCCCACATTATCCATATTCCCACATTATCCATATTCCCGTTTCCCAGAATCGATCCATTTCGAATTTAATTGAATTGGAGCTCTTTGTTTTTCTTGAAAAATAAATAATTAAATTGCTCCTTGAATTTGTTTGAAGGGCATACTGATGATGACGATGCTTTCTTCTTCTTCACCGATCTTCATTCTGATTCTGATTCCGTTTCTAAGAACTGCCCAGTCCATTCCCTTTGTTGTCTTCCATGGTAATATCATATATATATATATTGTATAAATTCCATTCCCTTTACTTTACTTTACTTGCTGCTGTTCAAATTAGGTTTTTTTTTTTTGGGTGGGTGGGTGGATGTGGATGTATGAATTTTTTTGGTTAGAAATGATGTTTTTGGCTAATTTTGGAAAAAAATTGTGAAAGACACTGCAGCAAGAAAACATCATTTTCCTTAAATTCATTTTTCCAGTTACCAATAATACGACATCAGGGACAAAATTAAGGATGGAATTAAATTAGTTAAGTGATCTTCGGGGGAAAAAATTTCGTTACAAATAAATTGATGTTTGATTCCATATTTTAGGAAAAAAAATTGGAATGAATGGTTAAATTCCTTACAAATCTTTCAATCAAACCCACGCTAAACAAACTTTTCTATCCCTTTTCCCCTCAAATAATATGTTTTTACAGGAAAATTAGTGTTGGTTAGAATTATAACATTACTGTGAAACAATCAATGTAGTCTGTATTTTTTAAAAAAAAAAAATGATTGAAAGCATGATATTGGAGTTCGAATTCTAATTTTCATTTAAAACATCGCATTAATTCGAAACATATATTCTATTCGATGATATTGGTTTTCTTTGTTGTTGCAGGAATTTCCGACAGCTGCAAGAGCAATGGAGTCACCGAATTCACTTCTCTTCTAAGTAACTGGTCATCTTCTCCGGGCTATTGCATGTAAGTTTGTTCGATTATCGTACATGTAATAATTAGATCTTCGTATCATTTAATTTATTACGTTTGTTCTGTGTGTTAGAAATAAAGGAAAAATAATGAGATTGTCTTGGGATAAAATTAAATCTAAATATAAATCTAAGCATGTGCTGTTTTTAAAATATATGTTTTCTGAACTCTTACATCGATTGATTTTTCCAAATCAGCAGTGTAAGCTATCTATGTGTCGACTTAATTTTACTTTGGCGAATTATCTTACATCTCCATCGTAGTAGTTGTTGTTGTAGTTCAAGTGATATCTTAGCTTGGATTGAATCTTTAGTACGGCGAAATTTGTTTAAGGTTCTTTTGTCTGATCGAATTGGTCTGTTTTTCTACATTAGCGAAATTGGAAATGGTGCATTCGATTCTTGGACAATGCCGTTCATGAAGCAGGTTCATCGGTTAATTCCTCTCGCTCAAATCCTCAATATGTTTTGTAATTTCAAACATTTGATTTTGATTGTAACCATGTCTTTCGGTTGTATGCTTTCAGACAGCCATTGCTTGCGAGAAGGTATCATCGCCGCTTTGTCTGAAGAGTTCACTCTTAATTAATTCCCTTTATCGAAAGAATTTTCTTCGACATTCAGGTGAAGCAAATGCGCGAACTCAGGGGAGGTTACAACATTGTCGGACTTTCTCAGGTGAACATACATATATATACACACATGATGTTAGGACAACAAATTTTCGACATATTGTCATTCTCTTTTGTTCTTTTATTACAATAATTCCACGCGGCGGACAGATGTCTGATCCTTACACTTATTTTTTTCAGGGCAACTTGGTAGGCCGAGGAGTTGTTGAGTTTTGCGACGGGGCACCTCCTGTAAGTCTTTTACGACACAATTAACACGACTCGCTCATACATACATACATATATATATATATACACATACATACGATTATTGTATTTTTGAATTGTTCGACAGGTGAGGAATCTGATATCGCTCGGAGGTCCACATGCCGGGGAAGCATCAGTTCCCTTTTGTGGAGTGAGTTCTTCCTCGAATCTTTTTACAGCCATTTTTATAGCTTTTTGTTAAAAAAAACTTTTTGCGACGTTTTGTAGCGTGGACAATGTTTATGCTCAAAGCTATAGTTTTAGGTTGCAAGGGCAAAGCTTTTTTAGTCTAGAATTGACTAAATAGTCGCAAAGATGAAAGAATCGATACATTTACTAATATAGTGTAAGCATGTAAAAACTAAAATACATAGATCGTAAAATCTGTATCTAATAAGAAATGTGTGTTAAAAGAAATATTTTGATTATTTTAGGTGAATCGATGAGATATTTTGTTCATACCGTTCATACTTACTAAAGAAGGAAATATGTGTTGAAATTACATATGTAAAAGCTAAAATACCATGGATTATAAGGTTCACGTCTAATAAGAAATGTATTGAAAATGATATTTTGAATGTATCATTTTAGCTATTTTTATTTGTCTTACTCAAAAGTATTTCTTTTATATTGTAATAAAAGTAATTTGCATAAATTACAATGAAGAATCTTCCTAACTAAAACTACTAAATGAACAAGCTTTACATATATAATTAATTTATATATAAAATACAAATGGAAAAATATCGAAATCATCTTATATATTTTCACTAACTAATAAAATAATATTAAATTTTAATCTACTGCAAAACTACTTTACTTTTTATACGGAATGATACTTCCTCTTTCATTCAAATTTATTTCCACTTTTCTTTGTTTTTGTTGTTGTCATCTAAACTTATTATTTCCGTTTTCTTTTTAGTAAAGAAATACCACATTTTCTATTTTTCCTTTACTAACAAAAGGAAAAAATTTCTATTTTTCATCTACTTTTTTTAAAACTCGTGTCCGATTAAATTAGCATAATTTTGTGTGACTGAAGAAGTATGATATTATATTGATACTATAGGGTCCACATTTATTAAATAGGAAAACTAATCTATCGTTTGTATACGACATAAATGGCAAAATATATTTATTGTTAACCGAGAAAAAAAATGGAATTTAACAAGAAAACCATTATTCCAAAACTTCGATACTTAACCCAAGATTTTGTCCCCATGTTTTGGTAGGTTGAACTTATCTGCATTCTTGTCGACTTTCTACTCGACTTGATGATCTACAGCGACTTTGTTCAGGTTCGATATTTAAACTAACTCGATAATTCTTCCTCATCCCACTACAATTGTCTCAATATCGTGTGATTTCAGGAACACTTGGCGCCATCAAATTACATCAAAATTCCAACGGTGAGTAAATTTTAAGAAATTTCGCTGAAAATATAAATGTGTATAAAATTGAAGCCGGTAAATTTGATCGGGATTTGATAGAACATCGAGGGCTATCATAGTGGATGCAAGTTTCTCCCCAAGCTTAACAATGAAATATACAAGAATTCGACGTACAAGAAGCGATTTTCTAGCTTAGACAACCTCGTCCTTATTATGGTACTATATGTTAGAAATCTTGTTTTATTCCTTTAGGTTTGTATATTATTCGATGAATTTTCCGGGTTTTTTTTATGACATTTTATTATTGTTATTATCATAGTTTGAGCGCGATAAGATTTTGGTGCCGAAGGAAACCTCTTGGTTTGGATACTACCCGGATGGTTCATGGGACACTATTTTGCCACCACAAGAGGTATCGAAATTTAACTTTTAAAATTTAGTTTTAGTGAAAAATATAGACGAATTATTAATTTTGTTGACGGGGTGGAATTATCTATTTATTTCTCTTTTGTTAGAACTTTTTTTCTTTAAGAAAAAATAGAAAGAAAGAAATTAATTAATTTATGCTAAATAAGGTTAGTTGAGAAATCCATGAAACAGTTTTTTTATTTATTATTCAATGTTTTGTTTCTATTATCGATAGTGTTTACAAGAATTTAATAAATTTGTATTTCCTTATCCCCAAATTTACTCACAATTTCCTTCTAATTTACCTTATTACTAATTTTGACAAAGTGATTTAATTATTATTTTTCATTCAATACTTATTTACAATAATGTCACTGCATTTATTACATTTTCTATTCTCATTTCTTTAATTTCTAACTTAATTTTCAAAATATTTCCAACTACTTTTTAATTTTATTATTTTTTTAATAAAATATTTATTTTTTCAATCATTGTGCCGGATCCAAATGTTCCAATTCTTGCGGACGGAGGGAGTATTTCACAAGATTATTTGATTTTTTTCTTTTTGGTCTTTCGAGTGAAACATACCAACATGTTTGAGGCATAAACGAATACTTGTATTTTTTTTTCTTTAAATTATTATTGAAAAGTTTCGAGTTTTGAAAATTTTTAGGTGAATAAAGAGGTTGGTTTTTAGATTTCGACATAAAATAAATGCTAGATGTAATCTTCTTAAATGAAAAATAAAAGTATATTGTAGATTGAAGTGCCAAAAAATAGAAATGATATTATAAATAAAATTTTGCAGACAACTTTGTATATCGAAGATTGGATTGGTTTGAAAACCCTCGACGAAGCCGGAAAAGTGAAGTTCATACAAGTGTCGGGAAATCATCTTGAGGTCGCATATAGTGACATGATAGAATACATTGTCCCGTATTTGGTAGAGAATGTAACTTTGCTACCGAATGTGTCGGATAGGTATGGATTCGAGGGCACGAAGGTCCTCAAGCTCTACACTTCACATTGAAGAGACTTAACGAATTTGAATTTTTTTTGCATGGCTATACAATTGTCGCGTATTTGAAAATTTTGTATGGCTATACAGTTATTTATTTATTTATCGTTGTTGTTAGAAATTTTGAGGAAAAATAATGAGATTGTGTCCTTAATCATCAAAATAAGGAGTCTATATATATAGACAATACAAAACAAATAAGATCAAATCTAAATATAAATCTACTAAATCTAAAACTGAATATCTAAAATATTTCAACAGTTGTTTTTATGACTTATGAAATTGATAGGGTGACGATTTTGTGATAGTGAAACATATGTATTATGCAATCTAAAGAGGATTCGGAATTTCAAAAACTTAGAGAAAAGTTATATTCGATTTTAGTTCATTTTTATTATGATATATTTTTTTTTTATACGATGAAAGTAAAATAACAACCAAAGCTCTTTTTTTTTTTTGTTGTGATTAAATATATCTTTTACAAATATATTTTAAGTTTGATTAATAATTAAATTTAAAATTTGTTTTTGAATATTTTAAGAAGTGTACTTTTGTATAATGTAGTTATTTTATTGTTATATAATTTTATATAATACTGATAAGTATTATATATATATATAATTTTATTTAATTATTTAGAAGATAAGAAATAGAAAATTATAAATGTGAACAAACAAAATTTGGAGAAACAAAGAGAGAATGGAATGAATTGTTTGTTCCAAAATATTATATCAAGCATATGTTAATATGACATCAAATTATTATTAAAATTAATTTTTTTATTTTTTTCATTTCAAAACGCAATCAAACAAATAGATGAAAATAAAATAATAAAGAGATAAGCCGCCTTTTAAAAAATATTATTGTCTGTCCCATGTTCGTATGTATTGTACATACAAAATTTTAGATGCAATATAATTATAAATAATTTAAAATATGATAAAAGTGCATATTTTTTTTTCAAAAAAATAAATGACAAGATGGATTAAAACGGTAATTTAGACGTCAAAATTAAAATGTGAGACGGAAAGGGTAATATTTTATAAATAAATATTACTCACTTCTAACGTTTACATATTTCTATTTTCTGCCGTCAAATTGAAATTTTTATTTTATTTTATTTTTGAGTAACTGTGGATACTATCATTAATTATTAATACTTATTTTTATATTTATTTACCATTTTACTTTTATTTTATTGATCATGTTACCCTTACTTAACAAAAAAAAATGTAAGGACAATTTGATTTTACACAATTATAACCAATTTAACTGAATAAAATGTGTTTGTTAGTGTTTTTTTAATTGTATTTAGTATCAAACATTTTTTCTATTAACAAAACTAAAAAATTTAAATTTAAATGTCAATATAAGAAATGATAAATTTTAATTATACTTAATACTCCCTCCGTCCCAATACTATGTCCACGTTGCCGTTTCTGTCGGTCCCACATACCATGTTATTTTCTTTTTTTTTAAAATGATTACACACTTTAATTTCATTTTAAATTTTTTTTTAAAAAATTTAATTAAACTAATTAGTTATCTTAATTTTAATTTATAATTATTTATATTATAGGATAATTATTTTCACTAATACATTCTTAATTATTTAATAATTATATCCCTCCTAAAATACCTTGTATAACAGACACTGTATCCGGACGGAGGGAGTATATAATGTATAATATATTTTGTTTTCAATTATGGAAAGACCAACTTAACTGCAAAAAAAATGTGTTTGTTAGTGTCTTTTTATACTATTAAACATTTTTTTCTATTAAAAAAATAAATTATAATTATATTTAATACATATATCTGTATAATTGCAGTTTTCACATTGCATTATTTTCCAAAAAATGCTGCATGAAAAGGTACAAGTGTTTACTGCAGGATCTGCATCACCTGAAGTGACCGCCCCCCAATATTGTGCATTAAATGCTTGTACATTCTGAAAAGTTTATACAGGCGTTCAGTTTCTACTTTACTCTCAGTCGGCAGAAAGCTTAAGAATTAATCAGATTTCTACAATGGCGTCGTCGTTCTGCTCCCGTTTCTGGACGTCTGCGTTGAGGTCGAAACCCCTAGGTAGGTCATCGAGAAATTCCGTACGTACGGACTCCGGCGAGGGGCTTGTCAGGCGATTGAGCTTATTTGATCTCGTTCTACTTGGAATCGGCGCTTCGATAGGCGCCGGAATATTCGTGGTCACCGGAACCGTCGCGCATGACGCCGGACCTGGTCGGTGGCTCTGTGATGCTTTTAAGTGAATGAATTGGCTCTTGTGATTTTGCTTTTGAATTTGCTTTATTTGTTCTGTATTTGGCTGCTTATAACATTTATCTGATTTAGTATATGCATTTATATAACGAGCATTTATCCATATGGATACAAGTTTTGATATTAACGATCTTGAATGCGAAGAAATTTCTGAACTGAGGTTAGTTGACATGTTAATTTGGCAGATGGAAGTTCATAAATGGTCTAGGAAGGAAAATTGAAATGAAATAGAAGTAGGAGTAGATCAATCATGTGCATTAATCTCTATGGAGATTCATAATTTTCTACTATTTACTCTTTTAGTTAAACTTGCAGTCATTTTGTCAGTCAGCCATGGATGATAATTGATAATGCAATAATTTTCTCTGGATATTATCAACCTTTTAGTTATGTATGAATGATTCAATGATTTTCTCTGCAAATCATTTTTCTTTTAAGTTAACTTACTTTAGATGTGTAATTGAAATTAAATTCGAAGAATATGACTTCTTTGCCTATAACAATTTGTGCATTTCTTCCACTAACTCCATGGCTGTCTTCTCTGAATCAGGCGTTACAATTAGCTTTATAATTGCGGGAGCATCGTGTGTGCTGAATGCTCTATGCTATGCTGAATTATCTTCTCGTTTTCCGGCTGTTGTTGGGGGGGCTTACTTGTATACGTACACTGCTTTCAATGAACTTACTGCTTTTCTTGTTTTTACCCAGTTGATGCTTGATTATCATATTGGTGCTGCTAGTATAGCACGTAGCTTAGCGAGCTATGTAATTACTGTAATAGAGCTTATTCCTTCGGTGAAGGATACAATACCAGATTGGATTGGGCATGGTAAACAGATCTATGGAGCATTATCTATTAACGTATTGGCGCCTATTATCCTAGTGCTTCTGACGGCTGTTCTCTGTCGGGGTGTTGGAGAGTCTTCTATACTGAATTCAATCATGACAGTGACAAAGGTTATCTAATAAATGGTGTTACTCATTAAGTGGGCAACATTAAATGTTATCTTTGCATCTAATTACGGCTTCTAGTCGCCACTTTAATCATAAATGTATAGCCGTGCTCTGCCAATCAAGAAATTCATGCAGATTTTTAATTTTTATTGCATTTTGATAGCACTTATCATATTCTAGATTGAGCTTGCAATATCATCTGCTTTACACTTAAAGGAACTCGAATTCTTCTGCAGGTTCTTATTGTTCTCTTTGTCATCATTGTTGGATCATTTAAGGTTGACACTTCAAATTGGACCCCTTTTACTCCACGAGGTTTTAAGTCAATATTGACAGGGGCAACCGTGGTCTTCTTTGCATATGTAGGATTTGATGCAGTTGCTAATTCTGCTGAGGAATCCAAGAAACCCCAGGTATGTTTTAACCAGTTCAATTGACAATTTGACATCCAAATTTTGTACTTTGAGAAATCATATAAACGTGCATATTGTCTTTGACAGTACAAAAATGTCGAAATTTATGTTGTCGTTAACTTTCTTGTCTTGATATGTTAGAGGGACCTTCCCCTGGGAATAATTGGTAGCCTTCTTGTCTGTGTTGCACTCTACATTGGCGTCTGCTTAGTGATTACTGGGATGATTCCTTACGAAAATCTTGGAGAAGAAGCACCTTTAGCTAAAGCTTTCACCTCCAATGGCTTGAAATATGTCTCGGTAATAATCAGCTTTGGTGCTGTTGCTGGACTAACAACAACACTTTTAGTCGGGCTTTATGTTCAGGTAAATTTTATTAACTGTATGTTCCCCAATCGTTTGTTTTGAAAATGAATCTTGAAGTGGCCAAGTGGTTCTGTTTCCTATGAGCAGTCGCGGTTGTATCTTGGACTTGGAAGGGATGGGTTACTACCAACCATGTTTTCCAAAGTACATCCAACCCTTCACACCCCAATCCATTCGCAAATTTGGGTTGGCTTTGTTGCTAGCATCTTGTCATGTTTCCTTAATGTTCGCGTGCTCTCGCATATTCTCTCAGTTGGAACTTTGGTATGCTGTTTCAGTATTCAGACATATCATTTCTCCATTGATTTTATTCTGCTGAATTGCATAAGCATTTAAATGGCTACAAGTAAGCTATCTTGAACACCACTAATGATTTCTCTTTATATTAGTTAATCATCCCTTTAAAGGATCGAATATTTTGTTTCAGACAGGGTATTCAGTTGTCTCAGCATGTGTCGTGACATTGCGCTGGAAGAACAAACCATCATCAAGTCAGGCTTCTACTTGGTGTATTTCCAGGAGGACAGAGGGCATCCTTTATCTCATCGGAATTGCTTCTTGTGGTTTTGTTGCTGGAATCCTCTTCCGTTTCGATGTTTCATTTTTTTTCCTCATTCCAGTCGCGGTTCTTGCAATCATTTCTGCTGCAGCTCTTTATATTCGTCAAGTAAGTTTCGAGTGCTTAACTTTTTAACTTCTAAGAAAAGAGAATCACATCTATTTGTGCACTTTCTTGTTTCTTCACAAATCCTGGAATCACCATTAATCCAATGAATTGAAAATTGTGTGTTTCTGATTTAAATTCAAATTTGGATTCATTCTTTGTAGATCATCATTCTTATACTTTTGTAATTTACCTGCTAAGAGCTGTTCTTCTGGATGAATGAACTCCATAACATTATGTGAATGTGTATTTTCCGGTAAAACTTATACAATTAATTCACAATAATAATAATTCTAATATCATTTTTGCAGGTGTATAGTGTTCCTCTTGGCTTTTCTTGTCCTCTAGTTCCATTAGTTCCATCCATCAGCATTTTTGTTAACATGTTTTTATTTGCTCAGGTAAAATTCCAAAGTTGCATTACAAGCCTCAATTCTGAGCCTTTTTTCTTCATGTTAGAATCTGTAATAATTTTTGCAATCCATTTTTAACTACTACTACTGCATTGCCTTGTATTGCAGTTACACTATGAAGCCTGGGTCAGGTTCGCCACCCTCAGCGTCGTCGCGGTTGTTATTTACGCGTCGTATGGCCAGTTTCACGCCAACCCGGTAAGCAATGCAGACGAATCGAATCAATCATTGAAAATAATAGTGATTATTGCATTGCCTCCTAGGGGTGGTCATTCGGGCCGGTTCGGCCGATTCTTAACCGGGCCTGGAAAGACCAGGCTGTGCCGCTCCGGCCAGTTAAGTGGAGAATTGAAGCTACAACCAAACATATAAGACTCAAGTCATCTTGTCATTTTTGTTTTGTTTCAAAAATTAATATATATAAATTTATTAAAAAAAATATTTTTAAAATTGGGCCAGGCACGGCCCAACCTTCATGAGCCCAGACATGGCCCGGTTCATTAGCGTGCCAAGCCCGGCACGATCTGAAAATTTTCGGGCCTATTTTTTTAGGCCCAAAGCACTTTTTTTTTGTGATGTGCTTAGACTGGGCTTTTGAAATTTCGGGCCTATTTTTGAGGCCCAAGCACCGTTTTTTTCATGCCGGGCTCAGAGTGGGCTTTCGAAAATTCGGGCCCATTTTTTAGGCTCAAGCAAGGTGTTTTCGTGCCGTGCTCAGACCAGGCTTTCAAAATTTCGGGCTATTTTTTTAGGCTCAAGCACGGTTTTTTCGTGTCGTGCTCAAACTGAGCTTTCGGGCCGTACTTATTTTTGCCACCCCTAGTGCCTCCCATAGCCGCCAATGCTTAACATACCATATCTCGACTTTTCAGGGCACCGGAGATGATGACGCCGGCGCCGCATAATCTCCTTTCTGCCGAGAAAAGCCCAGAATTTCCTCAACATGTAGAATATTTTGCAGGCCTTAGCAAATTCACAGAGCATTTGGCAAATAAGTGTGTTCACGATGAGGATCATAAATTTACATTTATGTATCTTTTTGGTACAGTTATATATTATAGTATATATTATATTATCGTGTGATGGCAAATATATACCGTCTGTTTTGATTAAATATGCCAACCAAATGATCTCCGATCGGATCAGCTCCGATTATCGAAAGAACAGCAACACATCAAGGGGAAAACAGGTAATACATATATATACATATAACCAACATTGTCCATTTTTAGGCACACAATTGACACAACACAACACAGCTGTTGTGCTGCACTCACTGACTTTTCGACTCTATAACTGTACAGTTACCAAATCCGGCGTCCCTTCCCGTCCCGAGCCGACCCCTTCTTTGGCAATTGCACGACCACGACTGGCGGCTCAAGACCATTAACTCCATCAAGATCCCAGACAAACTCTCGGGAGAAATAAAAAGACACGGTAACGTAAAAGAAGATCCTTATTACCCGCTGCTGAAAAAAAAAAAAACTTGAGGACGTGGGCGGGGGGCTCCGTACGTCCATCAATTCAATAAACATGTATATCGACGCCAATGGTTCTCAAGCTGCTGCTGTTCCTTACTGAATTTGTGAGCTTCTTTTTCAGCACTTTTTGCCCGGCGTGGCACCGTACCCATAGACAGGACAGCCTCGAAATCGCTGCTTGGCTTGCAAACTGTACCAGGTTTGCGTCCGCCAGGATGTTGTGTCCCAACACAGTGGTGGCATCGGCGTTTTCCTCGTATCCATCGAGGTCGGAGTCTGTAATTAACACCAGGGAATTGTCGTCAAATTCCAAGCTGGATGTCGCCGGGAAGGGCTGTGCTCGTCGTGTTGAGTTGGGAGCGGAGATCACAGTATTGGATTTCTTCAGTCCGTTGTAGAAACCATAAACAGCCTGCAAATTAATTTCGATTTATGTAAAGGATTATGAATTGTGAATCCGTACTCTGTTTTTCTTCCCAATTTCTAAGAATCTACAATTTAAGTGTTTTTTTCCGACCAGAATGCATCATATCTAATATTTACTCACACCGCCCAGGCTAATTATGCTACAATGCCCGGACATGAAGACCAAAATATAATAATATTTTAATAAAAAAATAAAGTACTTAACAAATAAAATGAGAGTATTATAAGAAATTTATTGAAAAGTTAATAATAAAATATTGAAGTAAATAAAAAGAAAAAATAGTGACATATTGGTTATTACTTTTTCCGTCCCCCTCTCAGGGTTACATTTACTTTTTGTCGTAATTTTATTTAATATTAAAAATATCTTTATATTTGTATAATTTTCTGTACTATTAATATTATAAAACATTAATAAAAGTATTTTTGTCTTTTTTTTTCCCTTACATTTTGATAGAATAATTTAAAAAGTAAATGCAACTCTTAAAGCCAAACAGAGGTAGTATTTGTTAAAGCAAGAGATAATAAAATTGTTAATGAATGAAGTTGTTTATTATAAATAGATTATGTATAAATTTAGCCTTGACATTAAAAAAAAAAACATGATTATCTCGGACGGAGGGAATATTTGTTATTCAAAGAATTGCATCTAATAAGTAAATTCCATTAGAACCTTTTCAAATCCAAAACCTAAATAAAACAGCCTAAAAATAATTGGGAGAAAATCGAGCATACCTGTCTCTGGGAGGAGGCTAACAACACCCTCGGCCTAATAGATCTCACGTGCTCGTACGCGGCCTCGGGAGACATTTGCTTGTATTTGATCTTTGTCGTATGAAAATTGCTGTTAGCAATAAAAAAAAAATTTAAGGGAATACCGAGAATCTGTGGGGAATTACCAGATAACAGAGAACAATTGTTGTGCTGCGTCCGCGTCCGGCCTTACAATGAACGTATGTTGTTTTGCCACTGAGGGCATTGGCTGAAAAGGACATACGGAGATAATCAAACGAATGATCAATGTGTAATATAAGCATTTATTTACCGAAAATGACAAATATGTATTGTTAAAGATTTCAACTTACAGTGGATAAAATCGATAGCTCTGCAAATATCAACATTTGATGGAGCAAAAAGATAATCCCGGGTGGGAATCACCAAGTGATCAATGTCATAATCCTACGAATAGAAATAAATTACATTAGCTAAAAAAATCATTTCAAGAAAATGTAATCTCGGAGTAATATGTTTCTTTCAAGTCCGGTTTTAGTATTGCACTATTCAATCATTTTTCTGTCAAAAACCGTCAAATCAAACACTTATGTTTCATTTGATAAATTACACAAAAAAATCCGAACATTGAAGAAATAAAATGTTCATGGATTTTAGTTCAATTAGTTGATTATCCATAACTTAAATTAGAGTCAAAGTCAATTAAACTTCGAACCACGAAAAATTGTAAATATATATATATATAATAAATAAATAAATGATGTAACAAGACAAGTATGGGTAAATGCAATTACATGGTATAGTGAAGTCGGGACTAAAGTTTCATATGGCTCATTCAATGTTACCACCCCTCCTACACCGAGAGCCTTCAAGCGCATAACATCGGTAGGAAATGGAACAGCTCCCAACAGAACATACTGAAAAAATAAATAAATATAATAAAATAAAAAAAGGAGTCGATGCAGATGCAAAAGTCGACAAAAAAGTCTATAAATATCACAAGAGGTGCGCATATTGACAAACATAATCGAAGCGTGACAGCAAACAATGGTTATAACAAAAATGCACCTATATTTAGATCAGCTGGCACAATTGTTACGACGTGTAAGCAATAAATCAATAAAGCTTCACCAACACTTTTGGACCGTTCGGGCAATAATTCTAACAATGTAACAGCTAAGACATAAATACAAAAAAAAGGGTCGCTGTATTCCAACAGCTTCAATTAATACTTTCACATAAAACAACCGAAAAATACGGGGAGCTTTGCGTATGTGACGCCACAAATAAGAAATTTAAAAACAATGCCACCGCCAGAAATTTAAAAAATAAAAAAAAAAAAAAAAAACCCTTTCTAGACCGGCGCAATAAATTGTCAAACGAACAAACTACATGCAATTAAGTTTGAATCGTTGAAAAAGTAAATAAATAAATACTCTCTTCTAAAAGGGTCTCGAGCTGTCAAATAAACGCAAAATAAGTAAAACTCAATTACCCAAATACGACAACATACTAAACTAATCTTGATCACACCAATCCTATGAAATAGAAGATCATTTAATCTCTAAAATACAACGAGCATCGATTTTGTTCACAATTCTAAGCAAAGAAAGATCCATCAAAGATTTAAAAGTAATCCTGAAAAAATCAAAACAAGACATATTTCCATGATTATTACAACAATTACATGCCGAACAGCAGATCATATCCTAGAATTACAATAGCATTTATCTACCACATAAATGGATTCTACTTGAAAATCCAAACAATATAAGTAATTTTCAAATTAAGTATACATATATATATATGTATGCATATATATACCTCATCAACTCTATCCCACCACCGGAACTCCGACTGGATCTTGTTCCGGACAACATTGTACAACAATGTGGGATAGAAAAGGGCTCTCGCCCCGGCTCCGACCAATACTCTTTTAGGGTTCCAAACAAACACCGCACCACCACCACCACCACCGCCATCAGCACCGCTGTCCTGCTGCCTTCGGACACACTCCGAATCGGAATCACCATCATTCACTTCCTCAATATACATCTTTCACAGCCTCTAATTACTAAACACAAGTCAGAAACACAATCAATTAAGACAAAATTTACAAAATGAAAATTCAAATCACAGTACACTACAGAGAACACCAAAACCCTCCTAATATACGAAAAATCCCCAAAATTAACCCTAAATCGACAGCACCAAATTTGTATACACACATATATATATGCGAAAGCCATACCTATCCTGTGCAAACTCAAACTACAATAAATCACAGCAGACTCCCCATCAATAAATAACAAACACAATCCCTAGAAACGGAATCCGAATCCGATTGAGAAAAAAACAGAATTTCACATCACAGACGTTGATCGAGAGTGCTTCTTAAACTGGAAATGAAAACGAATCGCTTTATATTGCTCGAAACCCACGAAAGGAAACCGAAATTGGGGATTTACGCCAACTCACAGCCTTTCGATGGTCGTTGAGCGTAGTTTTCTTGCAAAGTGCGTGCCCTCTACCCTAAAACTAATCACCCAAACACAAACCCCCAAAATCAACAAAATTAAACCCCCGAAGAAGAAGAAGAGAGCACATAACAGCAAGCAAGATGGAGGGAAGAGAGACAGTGGTTGGAGAAGCTTTCTCTCTCTACCTTTCACTTTCTCTCAACAACCTCCGCTGAAATTCAGACCCAACGTTTCCTCTTTCTACCCATTTTTATTTTTGAAGTATTGTTTATATACTGGTGCTGGTTAGTAACAGGGTCTTAAATTTTTTTGTTTATTTTTTAAAGTTTAATTTTATTTTTTTATTTAATATTCATATAATTTTCTATTAAAAAAAATATTTTATTTTATTCAATATAATATAATATTCAGATTTTCATTGGATAAAAGTACAAAATTAAATATTCTTTTTGACTCTGCTCAAAATTAAATATTCTTATCTATATTATCTCTCCATCCGTTCCATTTTTTTTTTTTTTTTTTTTTTGTATAGATACAAAAATTTAAATAAAATATAATAATTATTGTATAATAAAAATAAAAATAAAATAATAAATAGTATAATTAAAATTAAAAATATTATAAATTATGAAATTTAAAGTATTAAAGTGTATAATCATATTTCTTAAAAAAATGACAAATAAAATGACGAATAATTATGAAATAAAAATAGTGAACGAAAAATGTGGGACGAAGAGAGTAACACAAAAAAATTGTAAAACATACCAACTAAGTTAATTATTAATACGAATTTTAATAAATTTAAGATTCAATTAATTTAAATGTATTTATTTAAAAATTATATATTGTTATACACATTTTTTGTAAAAAAAGTTATAATTAAACTAATTCAAAACATTTTAAAACATATAATTATATATCTATGTACAATATATACATTAGTATTCTAATTTCAAATGCTCCACGAAATGAAAATAAAATAAATAAATATTTTAAAATTTGAAAGATAACAATATAATAAAAAAAATATAATAGAAAATCAAATAAAAAAATATTTTTAACAAAATTTCTCTCCTTCAATTCTCCAAATGAGAGGGGAAGAAAAAATAACACAATAAAATATTTTTAGAATTTATTTAGAATTTTATAAATTAAATAAAATAATTTTACTATTATATCCTATTTTATATAAATAAAAAATACACTTAATAAAATTTATATTTCAAAATATTTTTAAATTGAGTTAGTCCCGTTTAGATTGGTTTAAAAAATAAGCATAAGCCAAAAGTAGAATAGAAGTAGAAGTCAAAAGTAGAAGTATTTTGATTTATGTTTGGATGAATAATTATAAAAATAGTATTTTATAAAAAAAATATTTGGGTATAATAAAGTTGAGAGTGCTTTTAAACCGTTAAAATTACCAAATAGGACTTAGTAATGTAAATAGTAGTATATTGTTTATTAAATTTTTTTAATTTATTTAGAAATTTATAAATTATATTTAAAAATTTTAATTATCTAAATTAATTGAAAATATATTTATTAAATTTTATGTATAAACTATATTTGCATTTTTTTTTTTATTTTTTATAAAAATGAAAATTAAAAATATAATTAAAGTTAAATAATATTATTCTACAAATTATTTTAACTTTATAAATTATAGTATTTAAAAATATTAAATTATCTATAATATAATTAAAATTTATATTTTAAAAATTTGATATTTTCAATCATAAATTTTAAATTTAATTAAAATAAAATTTATTAATTAATAATTAAAATAAAATTATATTTAATTTTTATATAAATGAATTATTTTTATTTTATTTATTTTTTATTAGTATTATTATTATTATTATTATTATTGTTAAAATGGTAATTTAGATAGTAAAACTGCTTCTACTTTTAAGCATCCCCTCGAGTGCTTATCAAAAAAGCATTTTTGGAGTCTAAAAGTTGCTTCTGCTTTTGAGGAGAAGTCGATACAAACATTTAATATTTTTTTTTAGAAGTAGAAGCCAAAAGCATTTTACAGAAGTCAATCCAAACGGGCCTTACTGTATTTTTGTGATGTAATTTATCTTAATATTTATTAAAATTAATTTTTCGCAGGTCCAACTCCCACACCACCAGACCATCCCTTACGAGACTCTTTTTTTTTAACGTAAAATCGAGTTTTCTTTATTACTGTAGTGTGAGGACAGAATTGAAAAATTATTTTATTTTTCTTCTCATCCTCTATCTAATCAAATATTTAATACATTGTAATCATATTTCACATTTCATAATCAATAATTTTTATAGTTTAATCAAATTAAATTAAGTAATTATCTCAATTTTAATTTATTATTATTTTTATTAATATATTTATTAATTATTTATTAATTATATTTTAATATCTACCGTCAATATATAAAAAACAGTAGGACGAAGGAAGTACAAAAATATTACTTTCCTCTCCCCTCCTCCTAACCTCTCAAATCAAACCGACCTAAGTTCTTAATTATCAATAAAATATATTTTATGTCTCACTTCAAATGAGTCATTTGAATTTTTTCTATATATTAAAACCTAAGGCTCTTTTGCTCCAATTAATTTGTGTTTTATTTTAACACAACTAAAAAATAATAATTTTTAATTTGTGTTTTATTTTAACACAACTAAAAAATAATAATTTTTAATATAAAAATTGAATAGATAAAAAGTAAAAAAATATATATATTATAAAAAATTTATTAAAAAAATTGATATAAATATGATATGATATGTTAAAATATGAGTAATAAAATTGTAAGTAAATAAATTTATTTACAATAAATAAATTATGTATAAATTTAACAAACGATAAAAAATATTAATATTTTATTAATTAGTGACTGTATATAAAATAATTTTGATTTTTTTTTACCTTTGTAATTAGTTGTATATATAAGACTTAATATGTTTATAATTTATATATATATATTAATGTGTTACCATTGTAATAAAAAAATAGATACTTTAACTGTGACAAAGAAAAATAGTAAAACACTTCAACGAAAAGAGTAATTTATTTTCAATAAAAAAATTATACGAAGTATAATTATAAATCCAAAATAAAATTTTATTAAATTATACTCCCTCCTTCGGGCTAATTTGTTCCTTTTAGTTTAAACATGAAGTTTTAAATACTATGTAATTAATAATTAATTAAAAATATATTATTAAAAATAATTATAGAGTAAAATGACTAAATAATTTAATTAAAATAAAAAATTAAAATGATTAAATAATTTAATTAAAATAAAAAATTATAAATTTTAAAATGCTATAAAAATGTATAACTATATCATCCCGATCCAATGCAATATGTGTAAATATATTTCTACACGTAAAACTAGAAATTATATAATAATAATAATAATAATATCATAAAGTAATTCACAATTCTTACAACATGAGTTGGATTTTCACAGGAATATTGATATTATATTGTTAATCGATAAAAAAAAATATAAAAAAAATTTATTTGTCCTTGTGAGTATAAAAAGTAGTAATAATTATGTAATAAAAATGAAAAAGTATGAATAGTTTTATGATAACATGATTATTTATATAAAAAAATGGAAAACAAATAATAAGAGATGTAGACACAAGTGTGTTTCTTTTGCCAAATTTTCCCCATATTTTACTATTTTAACTCTATTTTTTTCGAAAAAAAATCACAAAAATTCCACTAAATATTATTTTAATATTAAATCTAAACAAATTTTCCCCAAACTAAACCAAAAAAAGAAAAGAAAAGCTGATGAGGGAGGGAAGCCCACATCAATAGCAACGCATCAATCATCCTGAAAGAATCCTCTCTCTATCTAATCCAAACATTAATAATACATATTAGGACAACAACAGACACAACAAACACACCAAACCAAGCCCTTACAACAACATATATATATATATATATATACAAAATCCACAACAAGAGATAAAAGAAATGCTGCCATTTGGATAAAGAATCCATCCATCTATCCATACATAATAAATAAGTACATACATAACAGGGTGGGGTGGGGTGGGGTGTGACAAGTACCATGTGATTCACATCTACCATTTGTGGATGGATTCAGGCTATTATAATTAAAACAACATTTGGTTCACAATCATCAACACCCCACCCCACCCCAACACATAAACATCTCCTCATCATCATGATCAATAACATATTTGCAAGATCGAGGGCAAGCAATAGTTACCAAATGAGAGTCATCCCTCCAAGCTAATACAGTCACTGCAGATGTACAAACACACAGATATAATTCATTAGTAGATTGGTTTTCTAGTAGTAAGTATCGTAATTTAGATTTAATCGTGGTTGAATCAACGTGGTATTACCTCAACTTACGCCGGCTGGCTGGCTGACGGGTACCGTTTAAAAAAAATAAAATATATATATATATGGACTATCCTAATTACAAAATATTACAAAGGATGAATGATTTAATCGGCTTTCTTTATCCCTCTGTCAATGTAACCTTCTGGAGCCGTATTTGCTCTCTGAATTTGGCTATAAACTCGCCAGCTTTTCTATCAACTTCGCTCCCTTCAAGTTCTGAATCAATATCAAGGTTGGTTTTAGGATCATCTTCAAGTGGATCCTCGCTAACTTTACTCTCGATCTCTTCTTCATGTTCAGAAACATCATTTCTGTTGTCGACACCTTCCTTCTCTTCATTTCCAAACTCATTGAATTTTGATTTCGCTTCTGAAAGAGGGCTTTCTTGTTCATCTCCAGTTGCTTGGTTTTCCGAATTTTCTGCTGCTTCAGACTGTTTACGTATTCTCCCGAGCCTCTGATCCATCTGGCTCAAGAATTGCTTCTGTTCTTCCATAGCATACCTTCTTGGCTTGATTGTCCTAACTGACTTGGGCTTCGACGACAGATTTCCAAAGGCTGAAGATTCGAATCCTGACTCTAAAGATTCGATAGCATGCTTCCCTTTTCCTACTCTATCATTTTCTTCATTAAATAACCAACCATTTTCACTAAAGGGTAATCCTTCACCATTAAGAGGAGCCACTTTCGAACGAGAACCTGAAAAGCCATTCCTCTGCTCTACACTCTCCACAGTAGGGCTCACCAATTCAGGAGAGGTGGAAAACTTTGGAACTGGATAAGAACTCGATTTGATGCGCTCGAATTCAAATTCACCCACAGAATGAGGCCGGCTACGGCTATGGGCGTGCACCTTGGCGTTGTTCTTGTCTTCTCTGCTTCCTGCCCGACTGGAATTCGAGCGCCAGGGGATCGGTGATGGTCCAGCTACTTCATCAAACTTCTTCTCTAAATTAATGGGAGCAACACCGCGGAGTTTTAGGACTTTGGGAGTATCCTCATCGCCATTAGCCTCAATTTTGGGGCTGCAATTCGATTTCAGTTTTTCAGTATCTACAATGGACGATCTCAGGCTCCTAATCGGCAGATTCAATGGCTTGATTTCGGAGCTTTCACCTACAAGCTTTTTCCCGCTAGAAACAACCAATAAGGATTCACTTTTCAAGTATTGTGAACACCACGATTGATTCACGCTTCCTGCATTTCCCCCAAAATTATACCCGTTCACATTCAAAGCCCTAATTTGCGAGCCTTCATGAACCGCGGGTTTATCCCTACCATAAATAGATGTCGAATCGCGCTCATCAAGCGCAGTCATGCTCTCAAATCCATCATCAAAGAAGGAAGATAAGTGATCAATACCAGAGAAATACGCACGCGGCTCCTCGGTTCTCGAATGCGGGACTGGATCGGCGTCAATCAACGGATGGCATTTCCGGCAGAACAAGCCGTAGGAAACCGCGATTCCAATGAAGAGGAGGTGGAGAATCTCCCAAAACTCCGTGAAAACCCCCTGGCTTATGAAATCGGGCGCTTGTGAAGGAAACAGTGGTATGACGAAGAGGAGAATGACCACAATTAGGGCTTTGCACAGGGTGTTCGAATTCGACTTACTCGGAACCCGCTTACCTCTTGCAGCATGGAAATGCCGCTCCGCCGACCTCATCGGAGTATCCTCCTCCACCGCCTCCGCCGCCGTCGCCGTCGCCATTGAATCTGGAAGATTGGGTGAAGACGAAGCAAGGGAGACTTTGTAGCCAAGGGAAAGGTCTATGAAGAGTGGGAGGAGTTGTCCAGAAATATTTTTTAAAAAATAGGCAGCAATAATTTCGACCGTTTGATTGAAATGACCACTTTGCCCCCACCAATGATTAACTAGTTAACTTTGTTAAATGCGTTTGATTTGATGCAAATGATAGATAGTATTATAAAATTATAATTTTATTCTATTTTTTTTTTCTTAAAAAATATCATATCATATAATTATTATTTTTATATCGTATTATAAATTTATTTATTTTAAAATATTAATCAATTTTTATTTATATTACATCAAATTAATATTATATCATTTCATTTAACTCGGCCGCCATAATGATTAATAATCTTGAAAATTGATATTGATATATTTATTAGCATTAATTTTAAAAAGAATGTATTCTATTAGTAATAAATTGACTTTTTATAAATATCATATGGTGCTAATAATATATATATTTTTTGTGTGTGTTTTAATAACAATTCTATAAAATATTTTGTATTTTATTTATTATATAAAATTATTTTGCGTTAAATTAATATATATATAAAATATTTGTTTTTTTTAAATTAATATTTTATTATAAATACATACCTAATTATATAAATTTTATATAAAAAATTATAAAAATATCTTACATATTATTTGTTTAATAAAATTAATAATTAAACAATTTATTCCTTATAATTATTATTTTAAAATTCATAATATTTTTTATGTTTTAATATAAATACAATAAAATATTTTATATTTTAGTTATTGTGTTAAAAATTTTTAGGTTAAACAAAAGTACACGCATAAAATATCATATTCGTTCATAGTTGATGTTTGATTGTAAATTTGTATTTAATTATACAAATTTTATATATAATATTTTAAATAATATTATTTGAATTAAATAAATTAATTAATAATTGATTAATTATTTATTTTATTTTATTTTTTTAAAAAGAAATTAAGTAATTTTTTTGTCTAAAAATAAATAATTACTTAATTTTTAAAAAAAATTATTTATTTTTTAATAAAATAAATAATTAAACAATTTATCAATTATTTATTTAATATTTTTTAGACAAAATATTACTGAATTTGTTTTAAAAAATAAAATAAAATAAATGATTAGTCAAGTATTAATTAATTTATTTAATTCAAATAATATTATTTAAAATATTATATATACAATTTGTATAATTAAATACAAATTTACAATCAAATATGATGTTTTATGCGAACTCTCATTTAACCTAAAGAATTTAACACAATAACTAAAATGCAAAATATTTTATGTATTTATATTAAAAGATAAGAGATATTATGAAATTTAAAATAATAATTATAAGGGTTAGGAATGACATTTAGGGTGAATCTTAAATATTTTATAATTCGAATGGATTATGAATTTTGAGATTTTAAATTCGATTGAGTTAGAGCGAGTTTAATCAAATTTTTTTTCCGAATTTATTAAATTAATAGTTATGAAACTTAATATCATATGTTTATATAATCATTTATATGAAAAAATTGCAAAAAATATTTAACATGTATATGTTATTATCACTTTTTTCTATATTTATCTTGCTGGCAAAATATATCTTACATGTTTGAAAAAGTCGTTATTTCTTTCGTTTAACCCCACATGGTGTGGGATATATTTTGCTAATGAGATAAATAGAAGACGTAGTGATAATATGGTATATATAGGACATTTTTCACAATTTTTCTTCATTTATATTGTCTAAAATTATACTCCTTATGCCCAACTTAATTTGTCCACTCCCACATAAATTATTTTTTTTAAAAAAATATATAATTATACACTTTAATCAAATTTTAAAATTCATAATTTATAATTTTTTATTTTAATTAAACTATTTAATCATTTTAATTTTAATTTATAATTATTTTTATTATATCATAATTATTTTTAAATAATATATTTCTTAATTACTTACTAATTACATCATGTGTAATAATACTCTGTGCCCCTAGACAAATTAGCTGAGACGGAAGGGGTAACTTTTATACTTTTACTCTTTTTTTTCTTTAATTTTTTTTATATAATTTTAGTGCGAATATTTTAATTTACCATTTTTTTTCAATTCACAATTCCTCTATAGATCATCGCTATATCAATATTACTATGATTGAAAATATATTACTGCTTTTGTTATTGAAATTTAAAACACTCAGGAGGTGTTTGGTACAGATAAATGATATGAGAGAAATATAAATATTGATTTCATTTCTCTCATATCCAGATAAATAGAGAGAAATGAATATTACAACATTATTATTATTTTTAATATTTTTTGTACTACTATTTAATTTTTATAAATTTTAAAAATTATATTATTTTAATTTTACAAAAATAATATTAAATTTATTATTCAAAAATTTAACTTTTACCATTTCTGAAAAGAAATATACTAACATATAATCTTACAAAGCATCGTATATATTTTATAATTTTTTTAATAAAAATCATCACAAATATATTTTCATGAATTCTCGCTCGTTAAAACTCTCTTTTGTCTGATTAATCATTTATTCTTATTCGATTTATTCAGATAATTGCATTTTTTTTTACATTTCTCAACCATCAACCGAATTCTCTGTTTTACATTTCTCAACCGTCAACCGAATTTTCATTCTCTACTTAATTTTTTTTTCTTTACAATTCAATTCTCTACCATCGGTTTACTTAAATTTTTTTCCTTTACAATTCAATTCTCTACCATCGGTTTCTCTATAATTTCATTATCTGTACCAGCCCCTTAATATGTAATATTTGAATCCTTAATCAAATTATAACCTATATATATATATAAAAATTCAAATATAAATACATCTTACTAAAATAAGGTGGGTTTTCGGGTTGCCTCTGAATCGGGCAAATTCAAAATAGAACGGGTTCTAGGGTTATAATTTTTTGGTATGCACAAATTCTGTCCGAATCCGACCTATTTTCATTCCTACTAAGGGTTAGGCCGGGCCAGGCCAGGCCGGGCCGAGCTTGACTAAGAGTTGAAAATACCCCTACTTTGATAGTAGTCATTTTTGTATAGATATCTACGTATATATGTATATATACATTAATTATCAATTTTAATGGATTGAGTGTAATTTATATATGTATATATAATTCCTTCATGTTAAATATTTGATTATGATCATCCAAAGTTAAATAAAATAATTATAATAATCAATTTCTTAAATGTTAAATATTTGGGATGTGTTATTTTTGTAAAAATAGTTCAATACATTTTCTTTTAAAAAAAAATAATATGTTATACATATTTATTATTTTTATATTATTTATACAATTTTTTATATTTTACGTAAAACAAATTCTCTTCGAACCAAAATACAAAACAAACACATCATATTCTTAAATAAGATCAATTTATTAAAAGGATAGTTATTAATATAGATCAAATAAAACTCCTGGCCCGACGTAGATGCTATGATTCGACCAAGTCAATAGGGCGGTAATTTGATAATATATGTTTATACATGTCTCAAGGTTGTATTATAAAATAATATATATTGAATTATAATATAATATAATATAATATATGATGTATTATAAATATATTAAAATATATAAAAATATATGTTCATTTCGGCCAAATCAGCATCATGCTGACTGACTTGATGTAATCAACAGCTGATCATCCATGCCCATATACTTTATAATGATATACTTTTATATAAAAATACATTTAGATTTTTCTTATGTTTAAATCTATTATTATTATTATTATTATAAGTACTAAAAAAAATATTATAAATACATTCATTATCTTTAATTAAATTAGGAAAATTTTAAATGTTTGAATAAAAATTAATTAAGAAAATATGAAATATATATAATATATAGTATATTTTATTTGCCTCAAATAAAAAATATTATAATTTGTAAACGTATAAGTTAACAAGTTAATATGAAATCCAACCACAATCCAAATTTCAAATACTACAATTCAAGCCCAACCCAAGCCCAATAACCCGACCCCAACAAAAGGGTATTTAGGTAAATCCACATTTTATGGGATAAAAAAAGAAAATTTTGAAATTGGGCTTGGTGCGGGGTTATATAGGTCAATTCGCGTAGGAGATTTGAATAGGAGCGAAAAAGCAGGGGGAGTGCGGGCGGGCGGATAATTGAAGAAATATTAATAAAAATAAATAATAATAATAAAATAATAATAATAGTGGCAGCAAAAATTCACATAGTGGAAATAACCGCCATAACCGTCACTTTCCCACGCACAGCACTCACGCTCACTCAGTATTATATAATAATCGAAGCCCCAATCCCTACCCCAACCCATCCTCAATCCATCCAATTCCCGCTCATTACTGCACGTTCTTGCATGCACGGTCGAGTTCCGGATGAAGTGTTTTGGTGAGGAATTAATCGGATTGGTGAGAGGCGTTTGATTTAATTCGATTTGATTTGATTTTGCTTGATGGTGGTAGAAGGGAGGAGGAGGAGGGCGCGGGCGAGGACGATGGCAATGGCAATGGCGCATCGGTGTCACGAGGCTGGTGGCGGAGGAGGAGGAGGAGATGTCAAAAAGGGGCCATGGAAGGCGGAGGAGGACGAAGTGTTGTTAAACCATGTGAAGAAGTACGGACCGAGAGACTGGAGCTCCATTCGATCCAAAGGCCTCCTGCAAAGGACGGGGAAGTCGTGTCGCCTCCGCTGGGTTAATAAGCTCCGACCTAATTTGAAGAGGTAGGTACGCCATGGGAGAATCGGATGCTGCTTGCTGCCCTGAATTTTCAGTGTTTTTCTAAATTGGATTGGGGATTTGTGTTTGCCATGTGTTTGATGAAATGTCAGAGTAATGATTCCATGTATTGTTGATTTTCCATCAATTTGTGCCCTAATTTGATAAGAACACCACTGCCATCTTCAATCTACTGAATTTCCCCCTTTTGTCAATTGCATCGCGAAGTTTAGGGATTTGATCATACATACATGCTTCGTAATTGCATTTCATGTTTGTTGCTTCACGAAACCTAAAATCTGGCTTCTGATAAAGATTTTGTATTGAACAGTGGAGTGAAATTTACAGCAGAGGAGGAGAGGACTGTGATCGAACTTCAATCACAGTTCGGGAACAAATGGGCGAAAATTGCAACTTATCTGTCGGGAAGAACCGATAATGATGTGAAGAATTTCTGGAGTAGCAGGCAGAAAAGGCTGGCCAGAATTCTCCAGACGTCGTCGTCGGCATCTTCGTCGAGCAAGTCGCAGAAGACTACCAAGGAAGTTAGATCAGCCCCTCCCATGTTCCACCATGGTGTTCATCATCCACAGGTAAGACGGATTTCATTTCCATTGAAGTTTCTGCAAATTGAAGTAATGGTTAACCCCAATCGAATAATTGATTGATCGATTGTCCACACATTTTCAGGCACAAAAGTTGATGGAGGATGATCAGGGGAAGTCACTGTCCTGTTCATCATCCCACAGTGATTCGAAGCCATTAACAATGGTGTCGTTGCCGGAGTTAGTGTATCCCACGATGCTAACTTATGAGCACCTTCCGTTTCAACAATTCGACGACTACATTTCCCCGGAGTCGTCCCACATTCCCTTCTCTGCCACTGCTAATTTCCCACAACTCCAACCTGACCTACCCCTGCCCCTGCCCCTGCCCCTTCCCCTGCCCCTGCCTTTGGATAGCCAAGAATTCATGACTAGGCTAGGAGAGCCCAACTTTCTCGACATATTCGAGTATACCTGTGAGCCGCCATTGGGGTGTACCCCCGAACTTCCTGTAGCCCCGTCTAATTTCGACACCGGCTCTCAAATGGCTTGTGATGATGATGAGGAGAGCCACAATGCTGCTGCTGCTGCCCCTGCCCCTGACGACGTATTCATCGATGATTTCCCTCCAATTGACATGTTTGCTCAGTTAGAACCCCTCCCGAGCCCGTCCAAATGGTCGTGACTGGATTGGATTCGATCCCAATGTATCTCTGCAGGTACTCTCTTTCTATAACTTTAGTTTGCTTGTATCGATCAGATTAAGGCTTACTTACTGTGTATTTGTTGTTAATTCGTCTGTACTAGTGCCCCCTAAAACTTGCTGCATTTGAAATGGCTATGCTTCTCTCTTTTTCATGCCTCGAATCTTCTGTATATTTGCTCGTTATCGACATGCCTTATATTGCACAGTTTGTGAACACGCACACCAGATATGTCGTAGTATTTCGAGTCAATGCAAAAAATGTATCATTTTTGAACATTATTCATGGTAGCTATAAAAGCACATCTAACTTATCATTTCTATATCTTGCGCCACAATAAGAATTTTAAAGATATACATAGATAGATTTAGATAGATCGGTTTGGCACCCTCGCCATGTTTTGAATCTTTCCGAAATCTTCTTCGCTTTGTCCTGCAAATCTTTGGCTTGTAGCTGACTTATTGTGCAATAGTAGTTTTAAGAAATGCTAACACAGATACAAATTATAGAAGTGATATATATATATAAATATATATTGAAGTAGAAATTTTGAATTTAAATCTTGATGCCTAAACTCGTGAAAGTTGTTATTATTTAGGGAGGAAATTATATGTTCATAAACTGTGCTTAATCATTAAAAATTAATTATTTTATTCTAATAAATGAATTTTACAAATTTATAACTATCATGTATGTTAATAAATTTGCTTTAAATCATGATATATGTTCCTTTCTAATAATTGGATGTTACAAATTTATTGATTCAATTGGGAGCAAGTTTGATCCGAGCAAGAATTTTTAGTTTGATCTTTATATTGCATGTCTATTTGTATACTCACTAGATTGATTTTTATTTTTTATTTTATTATTATTTTTTAAATAAACTCTTTACATGTGTGGTAAAATCATTTGTTAATAATATTTTATATTCGAAAAAGTGTGAATTTTATAATGATTGAAACTTTAGATTAGGAATACCTATTTTGATATGCACAATTTTTTTCATCGATATAGAAACATTTATAATACATACCATGTGTGGGCTCTTTGAATATGATATTCTCAAAATTTGCACAAGAAGATACGATAATATCCGGGGGTAAAAAAATGTAATTTTTTGGCTTGTTACGGCTACAGGTACAAGAAATGCTACAATATATATATATATATATTGAAGTGAAAAATTTGAATTTTGAATTTAAATTAATGTTGTAGGGATTTTGTATTGTTGCATTTTAGGCAAGTAATTAATTTAGTTATTGATTTTCTAAATTGCTTATATTCTTTAATCAAATTTATTTAGGCATAGTTTAGAAGATTTATAATGAGTTGTAATTCAATGTATTGCATTCTTAGTATTAAAATTATCATTATTTATGGAAGGAAATTAACTTGAACATTTACATATTGTGGTTTCTAATGTTATTATTATTTAGGGAGAAATCATTAAAAATTAATTATTTTATTCTACATAATTAGTTAAAATAATTAATATAATTATATATTATCAACTTTTAGTGATCAATATGTGTGCTAATTCTCTCCCTATTATTTATTATAGATTTATTGTTTGAATTTTTAAAATTTATTTAGAGTAACTATTGAGTAGTAGATTTTTATTTTATTTTTTTAAATTTTCTTTTTTTTTTAGGGAGAAAAATATTAAGGTAATATTTGAAATTGTGTTAACTTATGAATTAAAATTAAAATTGAAATTGAAATTGAAAATTTTCTTATTTAGAAACACAATCTACTAACTATCATATTCATTGATAAATTTTATTTAAATCATGATATGTTCTTTTCTAATAATTGAATTTTACAAATTTATTGAAACTCTGATTGATTTTATTTTTATTTTTTTTTTTAAATTTTTTTTAATGAAGTGATCTTTCCATGTGTAGTAAAATCATCTATTAATATCATTTGATATCCCAAAAAGTAAGTGAATTTTATAATGATTGAAATTTTAGATTAGGAATACCCGTTTTATAATGATATAAAAACATTTATAATACATACAATATTTTTTTTAAAAAAAAGAAGATATATATATATATATAAGAATTGGTATATAATATTTGATTGATTAATAATAAGACTTGTTATTGTGAAATAGTAATTGCAAAAAATGTTGCACCGATACAAACGGCAGAAGTGATATATATATATATATTATAAGTGCAACACCTATGCCGAATCATTAAAAATTAATTATTCTAATCTATATAATTAGTTAAAATAATTAATATAATTATATATCATGAACTTTTACTGATCGGTATGGGTGCTGAATCCGTTCCTATTACTTATTATAGATTTGTTGTTTGAAATCTTAAAATTTATTTAGAGTACAATTATTGAATAGTAACAAGGGAAGAAACAAGTGAAAAAGAAATTTTTTTGAATGAAAAGAATTAGAAATAAATATCATCATCATTATTATTATTTATTTTTACTCTTAGAAATTAAATTTTTACAATTTTTCTGTGTATATGAGAGATTTTTAAAATAATAATAATAATAATTTTATTTTTAGTTCTATGCTTTTATATCTTTGTATCAAATCTCCTTAAATGTACAAACAATATTTTATATAATTTTATTTTACAATTTACCTTTATAATTTATTATATTTGAGATTTTATAATAAAATAATAATTATACTCGTCATTTTCTAATATGAGTAATAATTATATCATACAATTTATTAAAAAAATATATGTTATTTATTATTATATCTACCATATTTTTCACACACATGATATATATAGATATATATATATTTGTGGTTGAAAATATATGATGTATTGAACATCTCAACGCCCATACAGCTTATATAGCTGAATGCATTAATTATTTATTGCTTTTTTATGATATTTTTTTTGCTTTACTTTTTGTTATTTTTTTAACAAAATATAATATTAAAAATTTGTTTGCATTGATAAATAAAATTCGAAAAAATAAAAAATAAAAAACTCAAAGGGAGCACACTATTTATTTTTGGGTAAATTATTTTTTTAGTCCCGTAACTGGATTCCCTTATCATTTTAGTCCCGTAAATAGACCCCGTCATAAACTAGTCCGATAAGTGAAAAATTTTCGTTGTTTTAATTTTCCGGCACCGGAAACGCCCGCGTGGCTCGCCGGAGGCTACGTGTCTGTCAGGTCAGCGACACACGTGGATTTTATTATTATTTGCCTTTTTTAATTTTTTTAAAATTATTTTAAATTTTATTTGCCTTTTTTAATTTTTTAAAAATTTATTTTAAATTTTATTTGCCTTTTTTAATTTATTTTAAAATTTATTTGCCTTTTTAATTTTTTTTTATTTGCCTTTTTAAATTTTTTTGATTTATATTTAAATGGATTTTTATAAAAATAATATTTTTTTAAAAATATATGAATGTAATAAAATTAAAAGTAATTTAAAATTTAAAATTACTACACATGACATGTTAATATAACTATGTATTTTTCTACTAGACTTCTATAATTTATTTTAAAATTTTACAAACTATATTTATAAGTTAAATTTATCTAGTAAAATAAAATATGTATATTAAAATTTAATTTATATATAATTAAAAATATAAATATAATTTAATTTCAACAATATTTTAAATCAATTGTAGAGTATCAATGATTTGAAATTAAATTATATTTTTATTTTTAATTTATATATATTATTAAAAGTTTTAAATATATTATTTTATCTCACAAAATATCACTTCAAAAAACTATTTAAATAATAGCTCAAAGCAATATCTAATTTCAAATCAATTTTAAACCACAATTAAAAAAAAAAAACAAAAAAAAAAAAACCTTATCAACATCATATCAATATTTGAATCCACATTCATGAACTTGAAATAGTATCCAACTCCCTTAAATTGGAGTTTTAGAACTCTACAAATTCTTTATCCAAAGTATTTTTAAAAAAAATATATATATTTTTTATCTCACAAAATATCCAATCAAATATAATTCAGACAAAAAATCCAAACCAAATCTTTCTAAACCAAAATTTAAAAATAGACCCTTTCTAATTAATAACATCTTGAGTTTAGTTTTTGTTCTTTAATGAAAGTTTATTTAGAATAACTTGTGTAGCGTTTTGCATACTTCAATTCTAACAACAATAACAATTTACTCGGATAACGACTGTGAATTCTCACATCATTAAAAAAAAAAAAAAAAAACAATAACAATTTATATACTAAGAATGTGTTTACTTGACTTTTTTTCGTTGCCATTCTTTATGAAAATATACTCCGTTTGTCTGAAAAAATTAGTATAGTTGGAGTTGTCGCAAAGATTAAGAAAAAAAAAACTCTCTCCGTTTACTTAATAAGTTTACATTTACCTTTTGCGTCATTGTATTTAACATTAAAAATATTATTATATTTGTATAATTTTTTGTATAAACGTCGTTCTATTAGTATTATAAGACACTCATAGAAGTAGTTTTGTCTTTTTCCCTTGATTTGTAGTAATAATTAATATTCAAAGATCAACAAGCAAATGTAAACTTTACAAGTGGACGGAGAGAATATTTTATTGATAGACGGACGAAAAAGAAAAGTGAGAAAATATGGCGGACGGAGAGAGTACTATTTTTTACTCCCCGCCCCCCCCCCCCCCCACAAATGATCCATTTTTTTTTTGTCTATCGCACAAAAAATGAGCATTTTTTATTTTTAATAAATTTATCAATCTTAAATACAATTAACAAATATAAATCAATTTAATTAAATTTTTAACCTCACGTGGTATCCACTAGAAACTTTTTTTATTTCCATCTCTCTCCTCAGTTGACAAATATTTTTATTTACCTTTAAAACTCTCATTTTGTTATAATACTAATTTATGGTAGTAATATATAAATAAATATATTTTTATTTATTTGTATTATATAAAATTTTATTATCTACAAAATAGTATACATATTGTATATATTTTATTGAGATATAATGTTAAAAATATTTAAAGATATATTTTAAAATTTTTTTAATCATTAAATAACTAATTTCTACTATCTAAATAACTAAAGGCTTCATTTTACTGGGACGGAGTGAGTATATTAAAAAGACTATCGAGCATCATTTGAGAGCCGAATTCAAGGACAGTAGTTTGGGCTATATTTTCGTTAGAGTTGACAATGGGTCGATTCATGTCAAGTTTGTGTCGGGTTGAATATTTTCAATGGGTTAAATTATTCAACTCTAACC